CGTTTTACATGGTTAGCGGCATCGATTGCACTATAGCGTCGCTATGGTTTATAGCATCATTCCCCTTCCACTTACCGTGCACCAATGCATGATCGGGCCGATCGGGGTGAATAAATGAACACCATCGCCACGAATGACGGAACTGAGGCGTCCATTACTCGAACGCTAGTGGTCGCCTCACGGCGGCCGCCATTTTGTCTGGCCTTGACTGATGAGTTGCGCCTCGGGCGCTACAGGTCATCAAAGGTCGCGTGCGGAACTAATGACATGGGCGGCTGTCCTCCCCCCTCTGCCCTCCCCTCCCCCTCCCTCGAGGCGGCTGGGGTGGCACGGCGATGTCCGGTTGCTAAGTGATGAAAAGTATTTGTCCTAGTTTCGACTGTAAAATGCAATGGGACTGTTGTGTCAAAACCGGCTATGGCAACGTTAGGTAGGTAGTTACATTGATCACATACATAAGTAAGGCTTTTTAATCCTGCAGCCCTGTGTGTGCAATATTTGGGCATTGCTATTACCAAGACAACGAGCCCCCATGCGCATTGCAAGCGAATGTTTCATTTATTATTCTATTCATTATTCATTTATAAGTGTCATGATGATTTCAAATACGGACATGTTAGTGTAGCATCGGTATTATTCCAGTATTTGCTGTTTCAAGCAAGCCACAAAATGAGAGCGTTCAATATATTATAAAGGCAGGTAATGTGTCTAATTAATGCTGCTCATGTTGTGGTATGCTGCTTTTTATTCTTGTCGTGACAAGACTAAGCGAAATAGACTCCCGTTTTTATCGACTTGCCGGAAAGTCCCAGTGCCGTGAGACAGCTGCCGTGCTGAAAAGAAATTGGTCGCTAAATGACGCACGGAACCTAAATTGAGCACGTGCCATCCTGAGTAAACGTCATCATATAAATGGTGGGGGATGGCACACCAGGCGGATCACGTATCTCGTTATCACTGATGGACAAAAACGCAGCGCCAGGAAATGGTGATATCGCAAGGAAATGGAACCATCAGCATAACGTGATCAGACTTACTCACGTCATTAACAATGTGATTAGGAATGCACATTAGTACATTTAGGTATCGACGAGATCATAGTTTTTTCCCATCAGCACATGTATGTACCGGCTTCGGTATAGTCCAGATCCCGATTACTGAATCCTTCCGTCCAATTCTTGTACTGTGTGGTCCAAACCGTGGGCCTTGACCTAGTGTCCCAGACGTCTTTATGTTCAAACTTTAAACGATGACGTACTAAGTTCATAAGTATAGTCTTTGCAATAATAGAGTTAGCAAACCGAACATTACAATGCATGGGTAATTAGTCCCTCGAGGAAGGTTGCCAGCAACAAAGCTTGAATCGTGCTCGGTACGTGTGTAAGCATATTTGATCGATGAATGATGAGCCGCCTGAGCATAATGGTAACACAAAATCAAAACTGTTGCGTGCTGAAGGTCCCTCTCTTACCATAACATTCTTTTTCAATGCTGATTCCCTGTTGTCTTACTATCGCATTCTTTATCATCACCTTTGCATAATCCTCAGTAGTCATGCCATCAGAACAAAGCATTCCCTCCCGTCTCTGCCTTTGGATGTCCAATCTTCCCTCCTGTGTCAGCAATCAGCATTGGCGCCGCTCTTCCTCCCTGCTGCGTCCGCGCCTCACCTCCCCCCCCCCCCGTCATCGTTTTGGCGCGGCCGGAGATGGCGCGACCCCCCTCCCCTCCCCCGTCCACCTCCGGGTGCTGATAGAGCATCTCGCTCCAGTTGACCCGTATTCCTCCCCACCTCTCCCCTCCTCCCTTCCTCTTCCCGTTCCCCTCGATTATTCACCGATTGGTCCAGAAGGAAATGGAGCATAGCATTGCTGGCTGTGTTTCTTCATTTGGCAGCCTTTCTGAGGCTTTAGGACGGCTGCCAAATTTCCGGTCGCTGGGAGTATTTGTGCTGACTGTGCTGGCGCGAAGGGCTAGACGCTCAGAGAGTCCTTCGTCGCTGTTTCTGACGATCCTTGCGACCTTTATCGTCGGGTAATGTGTCTTCTGTATTTTTTATGATCATTTCCTCATCTGTTTTTATATGTCTTCCGACTCCTAATGTCCCTCACCGGTTAGAATGGATAGAAGCAGCAAATTGGAGACAACGGAGACGTGATAGGTCAGAAAAATGACGACTAGAATGGTGACTAAGACTGGTGACGGTCAGACTGATGACGGGACAAACAGACAGAATCGTAACATGTTAGCACCACTAACTATGAGGCATTAAGCAGAAATTGATGCGAACCGTACAACCAAAATATTAATGAAGTTTTCATTGTGTTTAGCTTTTTATATACTGGAGCTTTTTCAAGTGAAGAGCTGATAAAACTTTTCTAAAAAATTATGACATGTCTAGCTTAGCAAAACTGGTTAACCCTCGCCGGCACAGGCCATTTTGCGTCCTTCGACGGCACAAGGGGGGAGGGGGGTTGGTACGACCCCCCCTCGCGTTTGGCCCCTGATCGAGCTAGAGCTTCGCGGAAAAAAACGAGCGTGTTGCCCGTCACGAGACGAAGCCGATGATACCCAATTTTAAGGTCCTAGGTCATCGGGTGACCTTCCAGGTCAGGTCAATGACCCGAAAACCGGGAAAATCGGGACCTGTTAGAAAGTCGTAAATTGTGGCTGCTATGTAGTGGTTTTCCGGGGTGCTGATCACGAATATCGTGTTAGTGTTGATCAGAGAAGATGTCTTTAAGCATTTAGACCAGGTCGGGTCAGGTCAGGTCAGGTCAACCGGTAGGGGTTGTGACGGGTATTCGTAATACGTGTCAACCGTCTCTGACAGCTTCGTAACATGTTACGAAGGCACCAAAACTACTTCGTAAATGTTCAAATGGTTGCCAAATTCGAATTCAGCTCCAAAAACTAGCCTAGAAACATGTAAAACTCGAAAAATTGGGATTGTCCTGTTGACGGTTATACCAAATACACAAATACACAAATACACAAAAAAGTGAACCGAGGTCACCCGAGGTCACCAAAGGTCAATGACCTGACCTGACCTTCAGGTGACCTTGACACCCATCCTAATGTATGGAAGCGACATCAAATTACATGTTTGAACGTTTGAAACCACAAAAAGCTTGCAAACGCGCGGCTAATGTGAGCCGACATACGCCGAATCGCGATTCCGGCCAAACATGGCCTCGGAAAAGAGGTCACAGGTCAAAGGTCATTGGGGTCAGGGTCATGAAATTTTCAGGGTAGGTGTAAAATTGATAAATGCGAGGGTGCTGAAAGTTTCGTCGCGATCGGCGGCTTTTTACGCGAGTTATTCGCGAAAAACCTTAGGGGGGGTTGCTTCAACCCTCCCCCCCTGTGCCGGCGAGGGTTAAAATGTCAAAATGACATGAACTGACAAAGTAGCCTCATCACTCTTGTTCCACCCCTCTGTATTAGCTTGTCATTGGACCGATCAGTGACCCACACACACTCCCGCCCACTAGCATCTGGTGTGACTCAGTCCTTGACAGGTGTTATTCACAGTCAGGGACGAGCCAAGTGAAGCCCGGGCCCGCCACGGGGGTCCACAGCGGGTGGGCTCCCACTGACCGCTACACATAGCCCCAGGGGAGGGGGATGGAGGGGGTGTCAGTCAAGGTTGGCACAGAGCCAACAAACTGCTGGGTGAAGACACAACACCTGTGTGCGAGTTACACGGCGGGGTTTTGTGCGCGTTGGGACGTTTATTGTTTGATGTAGGTTAGATTATGTTGATTATTAGTCAGTGGGATGTTTTTGTCGCTGTTTACTTGAGCGTCACACGATGAGTACCTACGTGATGCAAAATGTGGGACGCCTTTTTTGGTGCGTTGTGTGTATTTTACCTCCGTGAAGGGCACATGACGCGTTTTATTTTTAGCTCAACGACGTATTCGACTGCGCAGATTTTCATTTAAAAAATCGATTGGGATGGGAAACACCAATTTTTTTAGAGGCAGGACATTACGATGCTAACACTTTTTGTTCATCGCTTTTGTCAATCACAATTTAAAAAATGAAAGCACTGAAAGGTTACGTTTAGACTTTGAAGTTCTAGTACCCTTTTGGTATTTTCTTGTGCATGTGAAGTTTGACAATCAATTGATCTGTGAATGTCACTGTATTACCCTCGCCTGACGAGTGTCGAGTTGCAACTCCAATGAAACCAGCATAGAACATTTCTAGGAATATGTATAGAAGTAGACCCTTTATGCGTGTGCCTTGAAATATCACTTCATGACCTTCACATAGAAATGCATCATGTGAATGTTTTGAGTTACAGCAAATATTGCCACGCTTTGCACTTGCTCGAAATTACATTCTTCACAATTCAGAACATTAAAGAAGTAAAGACGCACTTTGATCCGATTTCATGTCACAAAAAACATTGAATTTTGAACTCAGATGCCTACTGCTTCAAGCAACTTGTTATATATTGTTTTTTTTATTCGTCTGGACCAAGATATTTCATCTAAATGTGTCTAAAAACGGCCTACGGATTTGATATCGCCCATATTCGGCTGATCCATGGGCTCTCCGAGCCTTCGCCTGTTTCACTACGTCGCACCGTTACCCAGTATCCTGAACCCAATATCTATTTAGGCGCAGCGCTAAATGTGTGGTCCGCTCTTGTGTTCCGTTTTGGGCTATCTTCCTCTCCTATTGATTAAACTCTCCCTGTCCTGATGGAGGCAGCCTGGGGCATCCTGTGCTCAGCTCCTGCACTCTTTTTGGAGTTAGGGGCGTCAAATGTTCCAGTTTTGTGTCCTGTTCGGGGCGCCGTGTGTCCCAGCTCTTATACCCTATTCGGGGTGTCGTGTGTCCCAGCTTTGTTTCTCGTGGGCGTCGTGTGCCCACTTTCTCGTGTCCCATGGGCATTGTGTGCCCAAGCCTCGTGTCCCATGGGCTTCTTGTGCCTCAGTCCCAGTGTTCCGCGGGCGCCGGCTCTGAGCGTGTGCCCTGTTTTGCAGCGTGGGCCAGGAGATTATCAGCGATGGTGAAAGCCCGGGCGATCCGCCCATTCGCCGACGGTAACCGACATGGACCTCGGCCGGGTCACTGACCTTGGGCCGGGTCACTGACCTTCGCCTGGGTCAGCCAGTCCCGTCTGCCAGCGGCAAAACTCGTACTAGTTTGCTGATACTAATAATGACACACCTGGGCAAATTATTTAATAAAATCGTTTTATATCTTAAAAAAGATTACCTTTTCAAGCATAGAAATGTTTCGCTTCTTTTCACTGGTTGCCACTCTTAGCTCTAAGCAATGAATCACTTTGCACTCTTCTGTGGCTTTATTACCAGATTGTATTTTATTACCAGATATAATTATTGTATCCAGCAATTACTGCTGTTGTATGGCAGATTCCGGCTATGGCAGATTCCGGCGGATTCCCAGAGTCCGTTTGCTGTGTCGAGTTTTGCCGCCGGTCGTCGGGCTGGTCTGACCAGGGTCGAACGTTGAAAGGCAGCCGGGCGCAGCAGTCTTGTTTCTTCCGTGTCTGTCCCACTGCCGTGTGGCTGCTTGACTTCAGAGACGAAACAAATGACAAAAAAGCCGGAAATTGTGCCAGGGTCATCCATATCGAGTATTGCGGTCAAGATGTGTTTAATTTCGCGTCGGAAACTGCGGAGTTCTTAGGTTACGACTACGAACTTTGGGGCACTTTTGCTCGATTTTATAATCGTCTTAATCGGACGAAGAAAAGAGAGCTGCTTGCGGCTTGGGCTAAGAAAATCCAGACTTTGTTGTGCGAATGCTGGGTGTTTTTCATTTGGGTCGCTAGTTTGCGGAATTTTTGTCATTGTCTCGTTCTGTTATGTGCGTGCTTTTATCTAATAGAGCGGCTGAAATCCCAGGTCGTCGTGGATAAGAAAAGTCGTTGTTGGGCATGAGGACGTGCAATTAGATTAATTGTGGTTGGAGGCTGGGTAGATATTTTGTGTAGGTCAGTTGAGCTAGGTTTGTGCTGTGACGTTTGTGAGGCTTGGGCAGATTCTAACACCGTAACATACTAATTAGTGCACTTAGATGTTAATGCTTTTGTTGGTGAGAGGAGCCACAACAAACGAGCTGTCTCAAAAGATAGGTGATACTGCAAGTCGCAAGTCCATAAAATGGAATGAAGACAAAAACAAATTACTCAGGCACAACAATTATCATCTTGATTATTCATGCATTTTTATGATTTGTCTCTTACATTTTTTTTTTGTATGTTTAGAAAAACGTCAGAGATCTAGGGCTCGCTGAATTCTAGTGGTACTACGGCATTCTTAAGCAGTGCATTTGGTCTGGTTCTAGAATTTTCATGGGTCCACAATGGTTTTCGATGGCTACTAGCATCAGGCATTTGCGAATGACATTTTGATTTATCGAAAGTCAATAACAACTGCAGCTTGATAGTGTTTTGTGTAGTAGCAGTGGGAATCATGGCTTGTCATAAATTGTACCCGACTCTAACAACAGTTGGCTTGTGTTTCTGTCGTTGCTATGACAACCGACCAAATGGATTTGGCTGTGTTGGTAGGTACTGGAACCTATTTTGCTGCGAAAACAACTAACTATTCCACGATTGCTTTGCAAAGTCGAAGCCCTGGTTAATTTCTGAGTATTGGCAAAAGTAAATTGTTTGTCTTGCGTCAAAGCCATAAATGGTTCTGTTTGTCACCGCTCGCATTTTATATTTATTTAAATCGGGCTGATGTACCCGAGGAACGGGGTTTTCAGCGGAACCGAAAAGTGTGCATGGATGAGTGCATAAATTATAGGTGCCGGCTTATGAAGGTCTCGTGTTTAATGTCTACTTGACGGTGAACCACCTAGCAGCAGCCCTGTTATGTAAATTGCAGACGTCAACTTGAAGTAGACTTATTTACGGAAAATATTGGGTATTGTTTGAAACATCATTTGAGCAGGCCTTGGAAAGCAAATGCATAATGAACCAACAAAATAAGAAGCTACAAACCATAAACCTGACATGCATGACAACTGTAGTGTGTACCACTGTAGCCGTTCTATGTGTCGACTAGGCGCTACGTAGGTAGATAGGTTCGATCTCAGACCCCACACCCCGCCTTTCCAGCATGCTCGTTACCATCGTCCCATTGTTCACCGCAACCCGCACGATCCGTAATGGAAAAACGACAGAGTTTATAACATTTAATGGGCTTGAAGACGTCCCGCATTTTGCAAATATTATGCCAAGCTTGTGTGTGTAGCGCTGCTTCTCGATTCCTGATCAATTAAAAATTTTCGTGCCACCTTATAGAGTACATAAATACGATTCTTGTTTTAAGTTTAGCAGCGCGACACATATATTTGATTAAGAAAATAAGAAAATACATTTCATTCATTAAAAGCATTGAGCCAATGTTTATATTTTGGTTAAAATTTGAATAGATGAGTCCGAACTTATAACATAATCTGAGGAAATACGTGCTCTATTTTTCGGTTGACTCAATCAATTTTTAGGTCTGGTGGATTGTGTTTTGGGGGAAAGCTGTGCAAAATACAAGGGCTTCTAGAGCTGCCTTAAAAGTCTAACAAGCCCTAGTTCTTTCTTATCCATCAGGCTCGTCAACCCTTGGCACCTATGTGAATTCTGACGACCGTTTGCAAACCATCGGAAAGCTGTTGAAGAAATTGAATACCTTTGTTACGTGGTCTATTTTTTTCTTTCGAGACACTTGGAGGGGACAGGCGTATCTTATGTGTTGATAAACCTGCGTACGCTAGACCGCAATAGATCAATGTAATTTCTTGGTTACTTTTTGGCTGGTCGAAGAGCTAAGCTTCGTGTGAAAATATTCCAAACGCTCCCATCGTGCGATATCTGGCGGATGAAATGCTACCATAAACTGCATGCAGTAACTGTTGCTGCAATATTTATCCTGTCACTTTTCTTCCTTCCTTCCTCTAACTTGATGTCCCTTCATAAATAGTTGTTTAGTCCTGAACAAACGTCCGCTAGTTGATAATGCGTTTCATAGATGGCGCTGGCGTAGGCCCCTGAAGTGATGCTGTGCCGCGGGGCTCCCGCTGGTTTGGGCCGCATGGAGACTTCAACACATGAAGAGCGCGTAGCCGGCGCTGGCTGTTTGCAGTAGTTTACATCGGTTATCAACAGAAATTAGTTACCCTACAGTTTTTACATGTAGACTGTAGAGCTAGGAATTGATTTTTGCCTAGAATAAAACATTCATGCCAAGTTTCATTTGCCTTTAGAAAAAGAAAACATTGAAATTCTAAGTGAAGATAAACAAACACTTTTCAGCGTTGATGCTACATGATGATAGTCAGCATACTATTGTATTTTTTGTGAATATAATTAACATAAAAATGACATAGACTAGAGTATAGGAGCTCACTGCTATGCGAAGACTAAATCATATGCCATTCTGCTTCGATAATTTCCCCGTCCAATGAGCTTCCCGCGGCAGGGCAGACGCCGTGTGCACGTGCTCAAATCTCCATGGTAACGGGCTGTTTGTTTTGTTTCAGGCAAGGCGTCGAACACTGCATCCGATGGAGTGACAGCGCCACACAGCAAATCGACTTAGCATTCAATATCTTTTTTATGGTGTACTTTTTTATTCGCGTAAGTTTATGGATAGTTACACTGTAAACATAGTGATAACTAGCAAAAAGTAGAATGCAGACACTCTTTAGGAAGAAACATAAATAAGAATAAAAAAGGAGTGAAGAGTAATTAAGCTATAAAGTCTACAAATGATGCTACATCACTGTTCTCAACATTTAAACTGTAGTTCTTATCGTTGTTTCAGCTTATGCCCGCTGTTCTATCCATCCCACTGTCACTCATTCCCCGCCTGGTGCCTATTGAACTGTTACATTCTGTTTGTGTGTGTCTGTTTTCAGTTTGTTGCCGCCAGCGATAAGCTGTGGTTTATGCTGGAGATGTACTCTCTGGTCGACTACTGCACCATCCCGCCCTCCTTCGTCTCCATATATCTCAACAGGACGTGGATAGGTAGGTAACGTTATTATCCGTATATACTCTCTGGTCGACTACTGCACCATCCCGCCCTCCTTCGTCTCCATATATCTCAACAGAACGTGGATAGGTAGGTAACGTTATTATCCGTATATACTCTCTGGTCGACTACTGCACCATACCGCCCTCCTTCGTCTCCATATATCTCAACAGGACGTGGATAGGTAGGTAACGCTATTATCCATGCATCTCAACAGGACGTGGATAGGTGGGTAATGTCCATATATCTCAAGAGGCCATGGATAAGTACGAGGTAGGTGACATCGTCTCAATCGGTAACGTGCGTTTCCATGCATAAATCTCAACATGACGTGGATAGGTAGGTAACGTCGTCTCCATGTAGGTAATTACCAGTACTTCAACAAGACATGGATAGGAAGGTAATGTTCGTCTCACATGCAAAGTTTGTCTGCAGGTGTGTTTCCAACAGGACGTGAATAGGTAACGTTAATCTCTATATATCTCAACAGGACGTGGATAGACAAAATTAGTTTCCATGTATCGCAATAGGACGTGGATAGGTAGGTAAGCGTTCGTCTCATCAGGTGACGTTTGTCTCTATATGGATGTGGATAGGTAACGTTATCCATGCATTTCAACACGAGGTTATTTATTCATATATCTCAACAGACCGTGGAGTGATGATCAAGACATGAATCTGGTGTTTCCTGCGCAGGATTGCGGGCCACGCGCGTCTTCGCGGTTCCTGCGCGTCTAATGACGTTGCCTTTTTCGGCGCAGGACTGCGGTTTCTGCGCGCGCTGCGTCTGATGACGGTGCCGGACATCCTGCAGTACCTGAACATATTGAAGACGTCCAGCTCCATCCGCCTGGCCCAGCTGTGCTCCATCTTCATCGCTGTGTGGCTGACAGGAGCGGGAACCATTCACCTGGTAGGTGGCACCACTAAAAAGCACTAAGGATAGACCTCTGTGTATACAGAGGTCTATCCAGTAATTTTAAATAAATCCCACTGTTCAGTGATGTTTAGACACATTATATTTTTATTTTCACTTTTTAACATACATATAATACAATGTCAACCACATTTGGCAATTATTCTTTATCATTATTAAAAAGGCATCTTGAAATGAACAGAAAAGTGTATAAAAAGGCTCGGTAGATGGACACTTAATATACAGTAGGTAGCCCCGAAATATGAGTTTCGTCTTTGATGACGGACATTATTACGTAATACAAAAACGAAGTATTTGAGTGAGATATTTGTGAAGGCATTGAGTCTCGGTTGCAAACGTTCATGAATGCTATTGCTACTTGTTTCCTTATTCCTGACAGATAATGAAGGGTTATTAATTCTAGTTAAAGGGACCCTCCCACCTTAACATTAGTTTTGAGTTGAGATAGCCAAGTTTGCGGCCAGGCTCAGAAACCACCATTTATCCTGGTCGCAACCCCCGCAGCTTTATGGTGTTCAAGAAATTTCTTCTCTTTACTTGCAGGGTGGGACCAGCGTGGTCCCTATCTCTTAACCATTACGGGAATCTGATGACGTCATCAGGCCTTCGAACGTCCGTTAAATGTTTGACTAAAACGTTTTGTAGCACGCGGTAGTATATGCTGCTTTGCGCGCAACAAATGCCGCACTTTCAAATAAAGTCGCTAGGAACAGCGGAGATCCCAAAAAGTAAACAAAAGTAAAAGTCTAATATCTTGAAAACCGGTGAATATTTTTCGATGAAATTTGGTAGATATTCGTTTTTGCTCTTTCTGAACCGAGCGACATCACTTTCATGCCAATTCATTAACTTTTTTGAAGGTGGGAGGGTCCCTTTAAGGCTAACCTGTTATTTAAAACTCAGAGCACCTCACCTATACCGGTGGAATTCTCGGCACCACAGACTGTAGTCGCGGCAGAGGACTGATATAGGCACCTCGGAGCTGATGGTGGCGACAATATCCTGGTCACGTCCCCACCTTACGTGACCAGACTGCCACCACGAGCCACGACCGTGGGGGGGGGGGTTGGGGGGGATTTGTCGCTTCTTGTCACCGGACCGGACAGCTGTGGGATGTTGTTCGCCCGTTCCCTCTGCCCTTGAGAAAGACGGAAGGTGGAGGAGGCTTAAGGTGACGTCAATCGGTCCCGGACGGGAGTTTAGTGGAGAGAGAAGGTCACGTCAGCGAGGGGTAGTGATGTCACGTCACTGAGACGACTGTTGCTAGGGCTCTGTCACGTTAGAGGTATTTCTCAAAAATCATATTTGTGCTAGAAGATGCGTTTGACTATTTTTGTTACGCTAGCTACGATCCCAAATAATGATGTCATTGTTGTTGCTTTATATTTGCCAATATATGTACAAAATTTTATGGTAGCTGGTAGTGTTATATGTTGTGAATGAGGGCAATTTGTTCAACCCTAATATATAAAAATGTAAACTTATGATAGCCTGGTTTTCCCTCTAAAGAAGTGAAGATTTTCGGTGGGTTGCCATCAGCAGCATGTTAAGCCCTCCATGTCATTTATCAAGCACGAAAGATATAAATTCCTTGACAAACCAGTAGCCAGCATAGTTCTGGTCAGCTGTGCAATGAACAATGAACTGAGAGGCCAATGTCCACTGTTTCATTGTCACTTCTTTCCTGTTGCATTATTCAAAAATACTCCATGAACAGCTGTTATAGTCGCTGAGCAGGGAACTGAACATTGTTCTTCTATGGAAAACAGCACGAATGTCGTTGTCAAGTGTCCGTTTTGGCTGGTATATGGAAATAGCAGCAGCGACCTGAGCTGCTTTGGCAGGGTCGCAGTGTTCGGGGTTGTGTATTGAATGTCAAGTATGGCGGGCTTTGTGGCCTTCTGAGACTGATGACGTCACTAAATCTGGTGATCGCGCTATCGCAAACTCCTGGCTGGAGCTGATATTGCTTGTATTGAGTAGCCCGCTTCTTATCAAGAAGCGGAATTGCACCTCAAAGCTAACGGAAATGATGGGAATATAAGAATGGAGACCACTACATTCGAAGTATAGTTCTAAAAGAAAAGTATGTGCACCCCTTATCAAATGAGACATTCAAAAATGCCTGCGGACATGGCCGACTATCAAGTTTAAAACCCCGCTCTGATGAAAATTCAACAGTCGGAAAATTCCGCTGTAAAACTCCGCTTTTATGCACAGATTCACTCGGTGGACTTATCTCCTATCTGTCTTTCTGTCTCGCCTCTCCGTTCCTGTCTCCCTCCCCCTCTCTCTCTCTCTCTCTCTCTCTCTCCCTCTCCCTCTCCCTCTCTCTCTCTCTTTCTATTCTCTCTGTCTCTCTCTCTCTCTCTCTCTCTCTCTCTCTCTCTCTCTCTCTCTCTCTCTCTCTCTCTCTCTCTCTCTCTCTCTCTCTCTCTCTCTCTCTCTCTCTCTCTCTCTCTCTCTCTCTCTCTCTCTCTCTCTCTCTCTCTCTCTCTCTCTCTCTCTCTCTCTCTCTCTCTCTCTCTCTCTCTCTCTCTCTCTCTCTCTCTCTCTCTCTCTCTCTCTCTCTCTCTCTCTCTCTCTCTCTCTCTCTCTCTCTCTTCCTCTCCAATGTTCTCTCTGGCAGAGGGCCGACAGTGTCGCTGAAATTCCGGCGGCTACCTGGGTTGGAACGGCACGGCACGCGCTCACAGTCCCTCAGGGGTGACGGTGTCGCTTCACGGGACAAGGATAGAACGGTCTCTCAGACCTGGGATGTCGTGGTCGAAGTGTGTCTGAATTTAGAAGAAGTGTCTGAGTTGGAATTGTCTGTGGAACTATAGTCCCACGACTTATCGCGATTTTTACGACCATGTGCTTGCATGGTCTTTGCTTAGGTACTGAAATGTTAGTGCTGGTGTGAATTGAATGAGATCTGACGTTAGTGATTAAATCTGTGCCGATATCTAGTGAGAAAGCTTTGAAGACGTTATGCCTTAGCTATGGCATAAGAATGCTGAATAATGGACGTTGAAAATTAAAATAAAATCTGTCAATTTAAAGCAATCCGTACCAAGAGCTTACAAGAAGGATGGGTTTAGGTTTTTTATGTCACGGTGTACGCAGAAGTTTGCCTTTTTACATTTTTTTCTTCCCACACTATCTCTGTAGCAATAAACCGCCATAAAAATGCTAACCATGACAGAGGCGGATCCAGCTCAGAGTTTTTTTTTTGGGGGGGGGGGCAAACCATAAAATTTATCGATTCTTTCCATGCATCGTCCATAGGCGTAATGTTAAAATTATGCCGTTTGGGGGGGCAAATGCCCATTTTTTGCCCCCCCTGGATCCGCCACTGAACCATGACGCTAGACCTCTCTCACGCTCTCACTCTCCCTCTCTTCTCGCCCTTAGTTGGAGAACTCTGGTGACCCGATCGAGTTTAACAACCCGCAACAGCTGAGTTACTGGACGTGCGTCTACTTCCTCATCGTCACCATGTCCACGGTTGGCTACGGAGACGTCTTCTGTAAGACGGTGCTCGGAAGGACATTCCTCGTGTTCTTTCTGCTCGTCGGACTGGTGAGTTTCACATTCTGCCGCTAGGGGCGCTGAGGTAGCGATGATAGGCGTATCGGTATACTGTTTACTGGAGTAGGGGAGTTTCATATGTAATACCCATGCTTGTATGTATTTTTTTATACTGAGCTGGAAAGCGATACAATGTCAATTTATGGTGGAATCATAAATCGAGCGAGCGAGTTGAATCTCTGAATCACGGATGGAATAAAGACTCACTCGGTGTACAAAAGTATGAAGATGCCCTTTGTCGCACCTTCTCCCAAAAGTTGCAACTTGACAATCCTTGTTCGAAAATAAATAGCCACTGAGGAAGGCGACAGGTAACTTCAGAAGCCTGCAAATGCCAAAAAAGGAGTTGCGAAGAGCAGTAGGTTAACCAAGTACTAGCGTTTGTAAATCAAACTCAACGTGGATAAAGCAAAGTCATCTGTACATTGCGCTCTAAATTTATCTTGACACAGCTCATTTTTTTTTAGAACACATTTAAAAGGATCTTTTTTTTTTAAACACTTTCCACCTTCAACACGTTTGCTGAACCTTGGAGTGCTGCACAAGACATGCACTGGAGTGTGCAATGTGCACGTTGAACGGTTTGCACTCAGCTTTCCGAAATGTGCCTGTCATTTGGTCACCGAGTGTTTTTGTCATGGGTTCATTCACTCACTTCATATGCTATCTTTATTGCTTGCGTCAAAGAGAAAAGGCGCGATTTGTGCGAGCATTAAAGTATGTTTGTGTTGAATGGTTGAGACTGTATGAAGGGTTTATTGTATAAGTTGTTATGTATGCCTCCGGTGTAGTAAATTTAACCGTGCAGTGAAACTGTGTGCGAGTATGTGTATGCGCGTGTGATTGCGTGCGTTGTGGGTGCGTGCGTTTGTCTTTTCGTTCTTGCGTGCGTGAGTGTGTATGTGTGTGTCTGAGAAGCCGCACTGCCTTGTAACACATTGAGGCTTTTATAGCGAAATCAAATCGATCACCAAAAGTAACGAAATTGTTTTCTTTATTTTTTACCGTGCTAAATTCAATTTTTTGGCGCGTTTCCTTCTGGATCTTTTTAGTTGTTTCGGTTTTTAGTTTCTATCCAGTTAATTCCACGCTACTATACCAGTATAACGCCTTTTGGGGCGACTAACGGAGCGAGCGAGAGGGTGGGCCTTGCACGTGCGAAATTGCGAGGAGGTACCTCCAACTGACTTGTGCACGGCACCCTACTAACTGGTCTCTAGCGATGTGCCAAATTTGGGCACAATCGGCCCAGCCGTTCTCGAGATCTGGAAGCGGCACCCTGCACGTGCGCACGTGCAAAATGGGTCCCAACTGACTTGTGCACGGCACCCTACTAACCGGTCCCTAACCGTGTACCAAATTTGAGCGCAATCGGTCCAGCCGTTCCCGAGATCTGGAAACGACCCCTGCACGTGCGCACGTGCAGCAGCACCCCAACTCTGGCACATGTATATGCAGTGCCTAGTGGGTGCCTACCTACATGCCAACTTTCAGCGCAATCGGCCAAGTAGTTACCGAGATATTGCAACAATTACAAAACTGACACCTCTTCGTTTTGCACGTGGCACGTGCATAAGGGGTCACCCACATGCATCGGGAATAGTCCAATACCTGGTAGAAGGAATGAAGCTACCCTACAAAAATTACCGCGTGTAAATCGGTCAAGTGGTTGCTGAGATATAAGCCTCGCAAAAGCGTGACCACGGCCGGCCGGCCGGCCGGCCGGCCGCTCATACTCAGAAATTTCCGTTAATCTAAGGAAAGACTACGCTCGCTTCGCTCGCTCCGTAATAACCAGTATAACGCCTTTTGGGGCGACTAACGGAGCGAGCGAGAGGGTGAGCCTTGCACGTGCGAAATTTCGAGGGGGTACCTCCAGCTGACTTGTGCACGGCACCCTACTAACCGGTCTCTACCGATGTGCCAAATTTGAGCACAATCGGCCCAGCCGTTCTCGAGATCTGGAAGCGGCACCCTGCACGTGCGCACGTGCAAAATGGGTCCCAACTGACTTGTGCACGGCACCCTACTAACTGCTCCGTAACCGTGTACCAAATTTGAGCGCAATCGGTCCAGCCGTTCTCGAGATCTGGAAACGACCCCTGCACGTGCGCACGTGCAGCAGCACCCCAGCTCTGGAACATGGATATGCATTGCCTAGTGGGTGCCTACCTACATGCCAACTCTCAGCGCAATCGGCCCAGTAGTTACCGAGATATTGCAACAATTGCAAAAGTGACACCTCTTCGTTTTGCACGTGGCACGTGCATAAGGGGTCACCCACATGCATCGGGAATAGTGCAATACTTGGTAGAAGGAATGAAGCTACCCTACAAAAATTACCCCGTGTAAATCGGTCAAGTGGTTGCTGAGATATAAGCCTCGCAAAAGCGTGACCACGGCCGGCCGGCCGGCCGGCCGGCCGGCCGCTCATACTCAGAAATTTCCGTTAATCTAAGGAAAGACTACGCTCGCTTCGCTCGCTCCGTAATAAATTGTGAAAGGCTTTCACAATTTCACAACAAGACAAAGACTAAACATTGTGAACTTTTAGAACTTCCATGTCCCCACAAAAGCCTCTGTGTTTTCATTTGTGTGATGTCAAAGGATGTTGTAATTGATATGAGGAACTGCACGCATTCATTGCGCCACGTGCCACGTGCACATCGATCCCGTGTGCGTGTCATGTGTCCGTTTACCACGTGCTTGCACCTGCTCACCAAAAGGAGCTTATTTTCAGGCAACGGTTGTTGAGTTGGGCCTTTTAAAACTCACTGGGCCGCGTTTTTAGTGAACGGACATCACCCAGCATCTACCCTAATGAATATCGGCTTCCTTGCCTCCTAAACTGATAAAAGTTCCGCCAGTTGCTGCTGATGACACTTTATGTTACTGGTCATTAGCTTTTTCTCCTTCAGTTGCTTCATAGTTTTCTTTCTTCCCCAAAGCTACCTCAAAAGTTATCCTTTTGTGCCAGCGATAACCCGTCCTCTTTCATAGGCCAATCTTATCACATCCACTTATCACAGCCAATCTTAGTTCCCATGCGTACCTCTTCCATTCAGCTCCCATTTGAGCAGCCAATTTTGTTCGTTCCGTTCTTATCCCCTTTGAGTTTTGTCTTGCTCTCTCGTTTCTTGGAGCACTGAGAGTGCAACTGTCACGTGTTTAATCACGTGTCCTCACGATACGCGCACTTCTACGCGTGTGCGTGCGTGTCTCTGTGTGTGCGTGTGTCTTTGTACGAAATCTGTCCATGCATGACCTTGGCATCACTATAGGCCCCCTATTGCCCCACCACTTTCTATGTTACCGCTTGTGCGTTCTTTTACCGGATTACCTCTTGCCGGAGAGCCTATGCTTCTGAGAGCACTGCGTGAGCTCAATCAGCTCAGCCAGTGACTGAGCTATCTGAGCTCTGAGCTATGTGAGCCGGCGACTGAGCCAGCACTGAGCTAGCACTGAGCTATTCGAGTCCGACCCACCTGCATGCCTTATTTAGGGACTCGGTCAAAAGCCGTGCTTCAAATGTCACCAGGCCCCAGAATCACTTTCTGGTCGAAATCGGGAAACTGTCACGGCTAAACGTACACCGCTTGGGATTGATTATGTTTTAAACGTTTGTTGGCTGACTTTTTTGAAGAGGATGCCGATGGTTTGGGCTTTTGCCTGTGAATGTACGGCACAGCCAATGCAACGACGGAGATCGCTGATAAATTTCCAGCATGATTTGCATATTATTTGAGTGACTACTGGGTTCTTGCATGAGCATTTGGTCTGCCCATTGTCACACACGTTAGGTACACAAACACCAAGACGCAGCCCGTTTGTAATGCATTTTTGTGCGGTTGACGTAGCATTCCATTTTTATCGAGAAAAAAAAAATAGACGCACGTTTGTTATCACAGATGCAAGATTAACGTTTTAAATATATTACGCTCTCGGTTATATAAAAAGAGCTTAATTCGAATGTTAAGGGCAAATGGGCTAAACGCACACTGGTAATAAGCGTAATAAGTAGCATATAATGTCACCATTGACAATGCTTTGCATGAATTCTGCACGGTGGTACTGATTTCTAGTGGCATTTTCATTTTCTTTTTTGAAACAAAAACGGCGACAGACGTATTTGAGATGATGGCAATACATTTTTGTCTCGAAATGCTTACCGTTATGTTTTAGCAGGCATAGCAAAATTTTGTAGTTTTTTTTTTTGTAGACACCGGGATTAAGAGTTTTAGCCAACGTCATTGATAGGAAAATTGTAAAGTCGCTTTTCGTTTTAGTTCCAACCAATGAACAAATACATAACGAATCGATTTTTTAAGGAAGTCTCAAAATAGCCGTTAAACCATAAATTTGTTATATAGTGCTATATATAGTGTTATTAGTGTAAACAAAATATTCCAAATCTATTTGATCGATAGTTTTTCCACAATTATATTAAGGTATTCAACAATCCGCATTTATTTAACGTCTTTTTGTATACGGTACATTGCCAGTTTTTCACCTTATTTCAAGCACTTTTTCAAATAAAGCCAACAGATTGATCTGAAGATTACATAAAGACGCGGTATAGAGCATGCGTCCCTTAGAGCCTACAAATATCCAAAGAGCGTCGATAATTATCAACCGGATATTAGAAGTCAGCTTGTGCCTATAATAGCTAGCGATTTGTCTATCCATGTATGATTTAGACGGACACAACTCCTACCTACATTCGTATTGCTCTGAACAGCTGATTATGTTGTTGGTTAGCTGTAATTTTATTTTATCTACGATCGTCACAATTCTTACGCCCTGAGTAGAGTAAGAGCGCTGTAATCGATTGAACTTGCTTGTAAGTATGCTTCCATAGTGTTGAATGATTAATGCTACCTATTTTTCTGAGTTAACCTTTTCCACTGTGAGGTGACCCTGTGTTGTGCCAAGCCCTTTGTTCTAACGTCTCTTTCTTCTCTTTGTTGTTATTTTACCCTAGTGTAGGGGCATCCCGCTTAGTGCAGCTCCTTAGCTCGTAGGACCGGTTGAACTACACCACTATTCATTATCTGTGTGCTTCTGTCTTCTACCAGGCCCTTTTTGCGTCCAGCATACCGGAAATTTTCGATATCCTTGGACGGAGAACCAAATACGCTGGCTCGTACAAGCGAGAACATGGCAAGAGGTAACGCTATCCCTCAAAGAGCTCGGGCCGTGCCGCGTCGGTGGGACACGCTCTCACCGGCCGGCCGGCCGGCCTCTCACTCTCTCACTCTCTCACTCTCTCTCTCTATCTCACTCTTTGGCTCGATTTCGGTGTGTGGATGTTGGGTGAGGACCGCTTTTGTGTGGGCCAGCCTTTAATGTGAGCCGGCGTCCGCGCGCTCTATGTGTGATCATCGTATGGCCTGGGGGAACAGCACCTGCCCGGACCGCCCCTGCTGACCCAGTTGGTCACTGGAGGCTCCCGAGGCACCCGCCCTCGCAGCCGGCATAGAGGCTCGTTCCTGCCGGGGCTCTACCCGTGCTGATGTGCGCTGACCGCACCAGCCGAACACAAAACAACCGGCGAATCGCCCAGTCACTGTTGGCTTTCGCATGCGTCCAAGCGCTGTGCGGGCTTAGTCATACGCCTCACGTAAAATCATGGCCTAGTAGCGAAGTTTTGTCCTGCGATAGGTCCTCACTAGCCTGGCTGGAACCTCGGGCAGGGCGACGCCGTCTCTGCCGGCTGTGGGCCGCGGGGCATGGCGGTGGGCCGAGCTGCAGTGTTCGCACAAATCTCTCAATATCTGGCCCACTCTCTCACCGAGCTCTGTTGCTTGTTTTGCCCTGGGCGTTCCGTTGGCCTTATTTGTTTTCACTCCCACTCTCACTTTCTCACTCTCTTTCTCACTTTTCTCTGGCTCTCTTTGTCTCACACGCGGCGGCGCGCTTTCTTTTGCTCTCTGACAGGCGGTCTTTGCGTCGTGGATACCGGAAATAACGGAAATCGTTGGGAATAGACCCAAATATGGCGGCACGCGGCAATCCGGCAAGAGGTACAGCTGGGCCCATATAGATGGCGCTACTAGCGATCTGCCCTCTAGAACCACGGTGCCACCCCGCATGAACGCTCTCTCTTTCTTTCTCTCTCTATCTCCGGCACGGAAAGAAGTGGAGGAAGGTTGTTGAGACCCCCACCACGCTCGAGGCGTGGTGGTGGTCGTCCTCCGCAACATCCTCCACTTCTTTCGGTGGCCTTTAGTGAAGTCCAAGGTCATTGCCCAACTAGTCTAGAGCCTGGATGCGTTTCTCACCTCCCGGTCTCGTCTGTTTTCGGCACTTAGGCAATATTCGCGAGCTGCATTCCCGAAATTATAGACCTGGTCGGAAACAGGTCGAAATATGGCGGGACTCTGAAGAACGAGCGGGGAAGGAGGTAGGTGGCCACTAACGACCATGCGGCGTCTTGTATTAAACGGAAAATCGCCCTAAACCGATTTGACGTTGACTGACTTAATGCAGAGCATCAGCGTTGAGTAAACATTGTTCAGTGCAAACATGTCGCACACGATCATAAGTGGGCGCCTGATTTGGCAGATGACATATAAATTGACAAAACAAAATGATCGTGAAGCTCGGCGAAGTGACATATTACCTACTTGATAGGGGATCAATCCAGCTTAGTCAAAATCTATTTTAGAAGGCGGACCTTTGACCGCCTGGTCAGCCAAATACCAGACGCCTCATTGTTAAACTGACCGCTACTGCTATCCGTTGCATTTGCTTAGCAGATGTTGCATGCAGCTGAGAGCCATTTGCTGTCGTTTGCCTGTACTTAGGTGCGGGCTGTGGGGTGTCTGGGTAGCGGCCCACTGCTGCTGAACTGCTGAGCTGAGCTGAGCTCTGAGCTCTGAGTTCTCAGCTGGGCAGTTCGCAGACAGAAGGCTGCTACCCAAGAGTGTCTAGCAAATGTATCGTCTAAAGTCCATTGAACTGATTTGTGAGCAATAATGTAGGAAATGCTGCCATTTTTATTGTAAATGAATCACAATTGTGTAATTGTCATATTTTAGATGGTGTGAACTTGTCCTAAAATGCTGTACTCTCTTAAAATTGTCCGTCAATTTTATTGTTCATTTTACAGCACATTAGTATGATGATTGATGAACAATGTAGTTATTTTGAGTATAAAACGGAGGCTCATCTTTGTTAAAGAGACTGTCCCATCTGAAACAGTGGTCTTGTGAATCCAATCAGTGTGTGCAAGTGAGCTCTGATAGCATATTCCCGTTTTGCTTGAACAAATGAAAACTAAAAAATCGGAATGAACTTTTTCAAAGAACTGGTTTCGGTGTCTTATCAAATATCAAGGATTTCTGGCCAACTTTCCGTCTCTCGACGTATTTAAGCGGCTGATACGCGTTTGCTGAAAGTTTTTGGATTTTTAAGTTCGATGACGAATCAAGATTGCTCACGTACGCTGACGTCATATATTAAAAGTCATTCAAATTACATATCCAAGGATCAGCGCACTATATACTTTGATTTCTTTCAATGTTATGGCTGCTCTGGAAAATCGTTGCAGCTCCATTCTCATTACCAGCGTGATGGTTGTTGACTGGTAAAAGTGGGACAGTCACTTTAATTGAAGTATGCCTAGTACAATATGATAAGGAAATACCTTGCAGTGCATGAGTTTCGAGTCGGATAGACAAAGTCCAGTTGTTTCCCTCCGTATGTAGTGGCGAATTAGCAGTAGGCTAGAGAGAGACTTGCTCGTGACTTCATGCAGTGAGATGGAATTCCGCCAATTTCTGCTGCGGCTGAGCATGTTGTTGCAACCTTCCGTGAAATTGTGCATGTCACTTGTTTATTGCAACATGCAGGATAGGTGATAAGTCGAGCATAGAAGAGATGCGGGACTTGTATGCATTTGTGCTGAAGTTTCTGTCGAGGAAAAATATTAGTCGTCTTGAATTTCTTGTTTTATTATGTTGTCAATCATATTAAACATACAGATATTTTAGGACCAACAAAAATAGAAAAACATCAATTTGCTGAAAACTAGTTTTAGTCAAGGGTAGGTAAGGTCTAAATTGAAAGGGTAAGGGTAAGCTCGTAAGATCGTAATTGAAAGGGTAAGGGTAAGGTCGTAAGATCGTAGTTGAAAGGTCTTTAAGTGCTAGCAAAAACAAGATAACTAATTTATGTGTGCTCTTTTAAGTGGTAAATCTAGGTGCTCAAAGAGAAAGGATTCATTAAAATATTTCGGTCAGATAATTATCTGCTTTATAATCAAAGAACAAACATTTAGGTATTACTAGCGATTATTTCTGTCCATAGCATTTTGGCACCGTATGATAAGCTTTGTTGCGGACATTTTTCTACGTCATTGAATGTCGAACTTACTTTTCTTGAGATCTGATGATTGTAAAAAACGACCAATATAATTCAAATCCTTTGTTTGATATTTGCAATATTTATGTAAAACATAATCCTTCATACTACTTAGGATAGACAAAATAAAAGGCATATAGTTAGATATTACACTCAAGGACGATGAAATACGTGAAACTTACTGATAACAATCATTTTTATCATATAAGTGACCGATAGGTCCCCTGTCCCTGTTCCCCTCCCCTGCCCCCTCTGACCGTCTGACCGGTCTCTCCAGGCACATTGTGGTGTGCGGTCACATCACCTACGAGTCTGTGTCACACTTCCTCAAGGACTTCCTCCACGAGGATCGAGAAGATGTGGATGTAGAGGTTGTGTTCTTACACAGGTGAGTGTCCTGAACATGCTGAATGTGATGTTGCATTGAGTTTGGGGTTCGTCTGTTTATCTGATGAGGGTGGGGCAGCCACATGATAGGGATGGAGAACTTTGTTCAGCGAATTTTGATGAGAAATTATCTTGCTATGGGAGTTGCATTGATACCTAACTCCTTTATGCTAACATTTTGGGGTACAACTGGACTTCACGGGCCAGTTGTAAGGCCGATAATTATTATGAACTGTCAACTTATAAGGCATAATATTCACGTTCCGTTCCGATGCTTTGTATAAGGTCTATTCTCTCTTCTTTCTTTTTTAATTGCATGTGAGGCATTAACATCGCATAACGCATTTGCGTTTGGCATAACTGATAAGACTGTGTGTATATTCCGTCAAAAGTGTTCAGATTACGCTTGTTGAATGACAAATCTTCTTTTCAGCACACTGACACATGAAAGTGACAGGGTTTTTGAAACAGCTAGCGGAAATTGTTCCTTTCTAGCATAATAGCACGTAAGAAATAATTCGCAGCTTTAAAGGGACTATCCCACCTTTAACATAGGGTTTGAGTTGAGATAGCCAAGTTTGCGGCGAGGTTCAGAAACCACTATCTATCTAGGTTGCAACCCCCGCGGCCTCTTGGTGTTGAAGAAATTCGTTCCCTTCATTTGAAAATGGGCCTTGTATATACAAGGCCCTATCTTCAACATGGAGCGACCGTTAGTGTGACGTCACCTCGTTTAGTCATTCTGATTTAAATGGGTTTGTTCGTTGAAAAATCGCTTAACCCTCGCCCTGGCAGGGCATTTTTCATAACACGGCCTGGCAGGGGGGGGGGGGGGGGTCGATGCGACCCCCCCCCCTCGCGATTGGCTCCTATGGCACCTAGAAACACCAAATTTGGTAGGTAGGTGGACCCCCTGGAGTTCTCGCCCCTGTGCAAATTTGGTTGCTCTAGGTCAATATTTAGGGGGGTTTTGGGGGTTATAACTGTAAAAATTTCGCTAAAAACAGGTCAAAAGTTTTTTGCTTATAACTTTTGATCTAATTAAGATAGTGCAAAAACAAAAGCACCAGTGAACTCAGCACGTCAATTCGCGTCGAATGATATACTTTTTAGCCTGCTTAAGTGTACTTAAAGTTTTTCTTAAATTTTAAGTAAACTTAAATTAATAAATTAAGTTCAAGTTAACCAAATTCCAGCATATCGCATATCATTCGATTCGGCTGATCACTAGAAACACAATGGTACCATTTTTTAAGCTCTAGCGTCGTTATGTGCCAAGTTATTGGCAAAAACGTCATTTGACCTCAGTTGACCTCATTTGACCTGACCCATGGATAAGTACACCAAACAAAGAAGCACCAAGTGACCTGCTGTTAAGTACTGTGGTTTCAAAGCACAAAAGTGATAGAACGAAGCGGATATCTCCAGTATTTTCCGTTTTTAGTATTTTCCCATAGGCTTAACATTACGACGTAATGACCTCTAACTGACCTCAGGTCAGTGACCTAAAAAAACCTGAACTATATGTTATAAACTCGGTGAACTTAGCACATCCTGAAAGTTTGAAGGAAATCAGTTCAAAACTGTGAGTTGGACAGGTGCAAAAAGAAAATTGAAATTTGACCATGACCTTGTATCGGTTTTTCTGACCTGGTGACCTGACCCAAGGTCACCCGGACCTGAAATTTTCAGGTCATATGTAAAAAGGTTGCCCCATAGGCTGTGCCAAATTTGGCGGCGCCGCGCGCCGCCGTTTTTACGCTATCTTCGAAAAACCTTAGGGGGGGTCGCATCGACCCCCCCCCCCCCTGCCAGGGCGAGGGTTAAAACTTGGTCTGAACTTTGTTGTGGTGCCTACAGAGTAAAAAGAATCAGCTTTATGACAGTAATGTGGCCTGGGGAAGGAGGTAATTTTGGGCTGTGACGCCACATATTTGAAAGTTTGTGTTTGGAATATGGGAAGCCTAAGATGTTTAATGAAAAATAAATGCCAGAACCGTGTTCCTGGTCATCCAATCTATAAAGTCGGGCACAATTTAACTGGTTTTAACAACATTTTAGAAGGTGGGATAGTCCCTTTAACCATCCCTATTTCGGACATGGCACACGGTGATTTTTCATATTAAATTCTCACAATCTTGCGGAAAGCTGGCTGCCCCTGTGATCTCAGTGACAAATCCTTCTCCTGTGACTGCATTCAGTGTCATTATATCTGTGGTGTGTCGCTGTCAGTATCCTTGTCTGTTATGTGGCCGCGGTCAATTTGTCTTTGACCGCAGTCACTGTCTTCTGTGACTTTGACCACTGTTCTGTGACCACATTGACCTCAGTGACCGTATCTGTCTTGTAACCTCTGTCAATTTAACTGTCTGGGTCAGTGACATAGCCCCGCGGCGCGACTCCATGTGACAGGCAGGAGCCCGATCTAGAACTGCAGGGGGTCCTGAAGCGTAACATCACAGACGTGCGCTTCTTTCGGGGCACAATGATGTCGGCCTATGACCTTGAGCGTGTGCAGGTCAGGGCGTGACGTCTGACCCCGTGACCCCGACCGGAGGGCCCGTGGCGTCGGGGGGCGTGCTCAGCAAAATTTGTTCATATTTTTCATTAACTTTCCATTATTTTATAATATAAATAAAAACCGTTAAGAAAAAACTATATTTTATTGCATTAATAAATATGTGTTAAAATAATTATTTTGGTTTTAGCTCATTCATAAATAAGCTGCCACAAGTTATTAAAAAATTAAAATGTGAAGCATTGTTGAGTTCAAACAAAAGCTCATCTGCCGAGCCATATATAGCGCTCGCTGATTTGGCTACAATGAACGCTTGCATAGTTTAATTTGGGAAAAATATCGCTAGATTCTAATCGTTGTACGCTCACTGAAGCGCAAACGTAGCTCATTTTACGTATTTCTTCTGCCGAGCACACTCCCGACGTCGCGCGCGCTGCTCGGCTTTGGGGTCAGAGTTTAGCACGGTTTGGTCCGTGTGATACCGTTTTTCTAGAGGTGATTTGTCATCACTGCACAGCGGATGCTGAATTTTACTGCCGTTTATCACACTGTTCAATGAGCTGCGATCAGCATGGACCTTACAGGCCTCACTGTTTTATTCTGACTGGATAAGAGCTGACTCTGCACAGAGCGTTTACTTTTCATCATTTTCATCATTGTCATCACTCGCTGCGAATTTTATGTTCTGCCTGGCGTGCATATGTGGATAAGCTATTTATTTATTTTTTTAATCGGCATTTCTCATTGAGCGAAAAACATGTATTTTTATGACAAAGACAGGCCCAGTAATTTGAAGCATTCATCGCTCCGAACAATCTCATGTCAAGTAATAACAAGTCCAAAAAGTCCAAGTGTTCCTTACCATCGTGTTCCTCCACTGACATCGATGTTACCCACCTGGCGCTTCATCTCACCCTCCCTTCCTCACTTTCACATTGATGTTGCTCACTTAGCTCAAAACACCGCCTTTCTCCATTCACATATATCTGCCGCACCGGTTCTTGGGCGTGGATGTGCATTTGTTGTTCGTGTGTGTACGTGTTTAATAACATCTACAGCCGTCCTTCTCACTTCTTGGGTCTCTGAAGAGCGCCTCTTCTTGCGCCTGCTCGCCTCACGCGCGCGTGCGTGCGTGCGTGCGTGCGTGTGTGTGCGTCGGTGTGTATGCGTGTGCCTTTGTATGCGCGTGTGCGGCCGTCCTTTCGTGATGTTAGCGCTTCAGCGGCAGCTGTCCTATTCCATGGAGGACTTCCTCGGGCCCGGCACGTGCCTAATGCCTTCTGTAAGGTCTTTTTAAGGTCTTGCCTAAAGGTCTCTAAGGTTCCGCAGTGTCTTTCTACTACGGCACGTGCCTAAGGAAGGGGTCCGCAGTATCTTTCTAGTAGCCCATCCGTTTCCACTCCTCTGATAGATCCAAGACAGAAATATCTTTTAAGGGCATCACCCGGTTGAAAATGATCTTACCATCATTTATTTAAAAACTGTTGCGTTTTTTTACCATTTTCCTGGCACTGAAATTGTTGCTGATTTTAAAACCCTTTACAACGAAACTAGGTGAAACTAGGATTTAACGTGTCCATATTTTCATTGTCAATAAATACATGATTCCCATTCGGAATGCCAATGAGTTCATGGGATTCACATCGGCTCTAGTTTAATACCCGCCCAAGCCTTATTGGAGAATTATGGCCCGCTCGTGACCTCACTACGAACATAATCCCTGCTCACAGCGCTCTTGCCATGGACGTCACACATTGGTTTCCGTCCTCTTTGGGTGGAAACCTTTCTTCGTCCTAACGCCTAGCAGACCTCCCCGATTCAACACGTGCCGGAGAGGGAAGGATCCTCTTTCGTCTTCCTCTTTGCGGCCCGTGCGCTTGTGTGTGCGCGTGTGTTTGCAATGTTTTGGTGCATCGCTGTTGCCGTCTGTTCACTCTGCCTGTGTGCGTGCCAGCCGTGGCCTGAGGTGTGGTGTGGCTGGCAAAACGACGCAGAGCTACCCCGGTCACTTGAATGTTCACAAAATTCATTTTAACTTCCTTCAGACAATGCTGATTGCTTATTTTTAAACAATAAACTTATTTCTTATGTTTTGTATAAATACTCAATAATGCAGCTAAGCGATACTCTCCGAAAGAGGAAAAAAGGAGTAAATATGCATGCAGCATGTCAAAAAGCTATTTAAAACATTCCAGCCTTGTGATTGGATCACACTGGTCAGGTCACGGGAAGCTCTGCGTCGTCCCACTGGCCGCTGCTTCTCCTCTGACGTCACTCGCCAGTGACGTCATCGCCGCGTTTCAGAGACGAGCCAGACCTGGAGTTGGAGGGCCTTTTAAAGCGTCATTTCACGGCCGTTCAGTTTTACCAGGGCTCGATTATGTCAGCCATTGACCTAGCCCGGGTCAAGGTAACTGTCCTCGCGACGCGGCCAGAGGTCATCTGCATGATTCCTGACGATTTTCTTCACACAGCACGCGCTGTTGTTTGAGGTGCACCCCGCGCGCAGCCGGCGGCCGCCATTTTACTTTGGGCCGGCGCGGGCTGTTTGAATTTCTGCTGCGTAGGAGGGAGCGCTAGCACCGAATGTGCGCGTGTGCGTGTGCGCGTGCGTGCGTGGGATTCCGGTGACCCTCGGACAGTGACATGGCTTTGCTCGGCCACTACCGCCCGAGCTGCGGCTTTGGCTATCGACCCGGGTAGAGATGCGGCATTGGAGGCTCTCTTTTCATCCATCCGCATGCCAGTATTTGGCAAGCATGATTGGCCCATATTCTCTAACATTTTGCATCTCTCTGTCGATCCGCATACGCTTAACGCTGTCGTTATGTTAAACTTTTTTGCTTCGTGTGAAATTTTCGACATGAACTTACTGTGTGCGTTTGTTTCCCTGTTTGTTTGTTTTTTGACTCACTAACGTGTCACCGATTTTATATTTTGCTGTTGTTGTGTTGCTGCGTTTTATTTACGTTGTTTTGCGTCTGTTGGTTTGATTTTTACATCCGTTGATTTTTCGCTTTTTTAGCTCTAAGCCTGAGTTGCGGCTCGAACATCTTCTTCTGCGCCACCGCGTCACCTACCTTACCGGCACACCAATGAACGTAAACGATCTACGACGCGTCAAGGTAGCTATCTTTCACAACTTCGCTTCGGTCAAACCGACACTGAACATTCTGACATCGATTCTCACACAACCTTCATTGATCATAGGAAATCCTTCTCCGGTGTAACATATGCATATTGTTGCTTCCACCGCCTTATAAACACAGGGCCTTGTTCCATGTCTCACAACACTTCATCGATGACGTCATAATACTAATGACGTTACGCCACGCTACTGATTAGGTACTAGCTTTGAAGTAACCGGTGACAGACATACTGATCCGGCTAAATAACGCGAACCCTGTCGCCATTTGTAGCCATTTTACCTTATTCCTGTGCGGTGGAGGCCCGATTTTGCCTGTTTTCAGCTTATGATTCGCTGCCAGCATGCCCACGGGGAAGTTCACCCAGCTAACGCTTTAGAACCGCCCAGAGCTTAAAGATCTACTATGGCATTTTACGATAAATTATGTGATCGATCACAGATTATTGCATGCATTGACGCTGGTCTGGTGAGGGCTCACGCTAAAGCCATCTACGAGGTGTGTCATTAAAGTTCCAGGACTGGTGTCCTAAAAGATGAATTTCAAACCCAAGCCAAAAACCACCATATTTCCCCTTCAAAGTAATCCTTCTGGAGTATACAACTGCGCTCCCAACCCTCTACAGTCACTAATCTTTTTCTTACGTGCTTTTAAAATCATGTCCTCTGGTGCAGGTCGTTTAACAATGAGCGCTGAACAGCGAACAAACTTGAAGTTTTTGGTGCAGTTGGGGAAAACGCCGTCAGAAGCACTGGGTATGCTGCAAAAAGTGTACGGGGATGAGACAATGTCACGCTCACGTGTTTTTGAGTGGTGCAAGAGGTTCAAAGAGGGCCGGGAGGACGTGGAAGATGACCCCAGGAGTGGAAGACCCTCAACGAGCAGGAATGAGGCCAATGTTGAGCGCGTCAAGCAGATGGTGCGTGACGATCGTCGGTTGACTGTTCGACAGATCGCAGATGAGCTTGGCATGAACCACAACAGCGTGTGGAAGATTATCACTGAAGATCTGAAGATGAAGATAGCGAGAAGAGGCGGGAGTTGTGGCAGGGCAACTCGTGGCTGCTTCAACACGACAATGCGCCTGCTCACAATGCCCTGAGCATCAGAGAGTTCTTGGCCAAGAAGAACATCGCCGTGCTGGAGCAACCGCCCTACTCACCTGACCTCGCTCCGTGCGACTTCTTCCTCTTCCCCAAGCTCAAGGAAGTCATGAAGGGGACCCGTTTTGCTGATGCGGACGACATCAAAAAGGCCGTGACGACGGAGCTGAGGAGCATCCCGCAAGAATCCTTCCAGCAGTGCATGCAAGCCTGGCAGAGAAGGATGGACAAGTGCATGCGGTGCCAGGGGGATTACTTCGAAGGGGACAACCTATAGTTTGTAGCCTGGATGTGAAATAAAACTTGTGTGGCACCAGTCCTGGAACTTTAATGACACGCCTCGTAGGTAGTCGCTTATTCCATTTTGTTTTGATAAAATTAATCACATTTAGGAGGTAATACAACCATAATGCTGGAGTCTGGACCTAGCAATACGTATAAGAAGCATAAAGGACTAGGACATTTTAATGAGTGAAACTGTTCATGTCTAGTACATAACGCCTTCTATTGTATTTGGACGGACAAAAATATAGTAAAATGTCAAAAATGACAGTGTTGTATTGCGCTGCCGTTTCAAAGAAACAACGAGTTCAATTTTGGGTGAATTTGAAAACAGTCGCTACAACACGGCCTAGGCTACTATCGTAAAATTGATTTAACCTATAACAACCAAACGACTTTCCGAAATGAGCTGAGGCTGACACCAGACTAGACGGTTCAGATGCGTATTACACTTGCATTTCTTTCGGGCGCCGCTCTAGTTACCTGGCGTGGGCTACTCCAGGGTAGCCTACTGGCGCCCCCACAGTTTGTCCCCGCCCGCCTGCCTGCCTGCTTGAGCCACGCCCGCGCCTCGCCCGGTGGCTGGGTCGCGGCATCTGGCCACAGTGGGGTGCAACTGTCCCAGCTTCTGTTGACTGTAACTGTTGCGTGACTGTAACAGTTGCATCAACGGATGGCTGCAACAGTTGCAACCAAACCCAGCAACTCCCACCGCAGTAGGATGTGACCGTGCGCTCACTTTTGGTCCGCACAGAAAGCCGCCCGATTTGGAATTAGAAGGCCTGTTCAAGCGGCATTTCACAACAGTGGAGTTCTTTCAAGGCAGCATCATGAACCCGATTGACCTACAACGGGTCAAGGTCAGTTCGTCGGCACCGCTGGAGATGCGGAGACGACGTCTTGTACAACTGTAGGCAACCTTCAGCACGGGGATTTTATGACAAAACGAAAAAAGATGTTCTGATTGGAGAATGATTTGCTGTTTATGAAAGACTAGCTGTTATTGCAAGGCCGCGTTAATTGCCTTTTAACTTTCCGAATCGCCTTCAATTTTTTGCAACATCTTCTCTATCACTTTTCCGGCGTGTTTATTTTGACTAACATAACTCATTTGCTTCAGCAAAATAACACTAACGAAGAATTGAAATATTAGCATCTTTTCGCTCTAGTTTTACAACTTTATCTGTTGTCTGAAATAGTTTTATGGCATTTAGTTCAACTTAAGGTACATTTTCGACATGCGCTATGACCCTCAACTCATGCAGAAGGTGTTAGGAACTGGGGCACAAAATATTGAAGACAACAGCGGTGATCATCTTAGTGTGCCTACTGAATTATCTCTACAATTAACGTTTTAATTGTCAATCAGAGCTCGTAAAAGTATTTCCACAAGTCATATAATTTCATAGTTCATATAATTACGATGCATTTTCATCACACATGCTATCAATATCACACGAGAGGTAGCTAGGACTAAGCGCTCGCCTTTCTCGCCACTAACATCTCAGCAAAAGTCACGCACGTTACCGAAGGCTGCGCCTTGCTGCTTCACCTTATACTAGGCGCAAGTAGGAGCTACTGATTAGTACGAGCTACTCATTCGTAGGAGCTAGGCAACTCATTCGTAGGCGGCGGGATGGCAGCAATTTTTCCGGTAACTTCACTCGCATGAGATTGTGTGTTTGAATGCTTTTCATTCTTGGAGTTGGGTTGGCCCCACTTGCCCGTAGTTTTGAACGCACTGCTTTCACCTGCTCTCAGCCGTATTGCAACATTAATTTAAAGATTTTTGCATTCACGTTAATTGCTAATGATATGCCTGACTATTTTTCACAATTCAATATCACAATGACTATATCAATATTGCTTTTTATTGCAAAGATACATCATAACGTCTTACTCAACAGTTTTCCAAACGAGTGCCATGCATGTACGAGTAGTTTGCGTCAGTTCCACCTCTTCACCAATTGGGTCACTGACCGTTGACCTGGCCGGTCTGACCTCTGACCTGACCTGACCTTTGACCTGGCGGTCGTCAGATCCACGATGCAGATGCGTGTCTGGTCCTGGCCAATAAGTACTGCCAGGATCCGGACGCAGAGGACGCAGCCAACATCATGCGCGTCATCTCCATCAAAAACTACAGCGACGACATCAGAATCATCATTCAGCTGATGCAGTACCACAACAAGGTTTGTGAGACGCCCTTCAGTTACTTCTGTAGATATGCTATAGACTTCGGATCATCATCCATGGCTAAGACACTCCCTCCTCACTCTTTAATCTCCTCGTTCCATTCCCCTCTTTTTTCTTTTGCCCTCTGGATGTCCCTCTTGTTCACTCCCTCTCGTTCTAGCTCTTTTCTCCCTCCCCTCATTCTCTTCTCCTTTTTCTTTCCCTCTCCTACCGCATAACTACCAGCTACATCTAGGCTCTTCACTGTACAACCCACCAACTCTCTGCTCTGACGTCATTATGACGTATGTACGGGTCTGCAGGCCTACCTGCTCAACATTCCTAGCTGGGACTGGAAGCGCGGCGATGACGTCATCTGTCTGGCCGAGCTGAAGCTGGGCTTCATCGCACAGAGCTGCCTGGCCCCGGGCTTCTCCACCATGATGGCCAACCTGTTCGCCATGCGATCCTTCAAAACGGTACGTCCCTACGGCAGAGTGAAGGAAAAGGGGTTAATAATGGGGGAATGTCAGTCGGAGGCTTTACCGTCGTATATTCAAGTAAAATGTGATTTATTTTCAAAAGGCTGATGACCATAGCAGCAAAAAAATGTCACGTCCTTATGCCAACTTAATTATTGTAGGTGCATTTAAAAAGACGTGCGTATTTTAATGCTCTTGTGCAAATTATGCGATTTGTCGATTGTGTGTGTAAAAGTATGGTCTATTTCAAACTGTCGTTCGCAAAGGATTTATACGTTGTCTCTCATCCACGAGTGTTCTTAACCATCATCCTAAATCCTAACCCAGATAAAATGGACTAATTCATCTCGTTATCTGTGACGCCATTGTGACTTCATTGATCCCAGATCGAGGGTTGATTTGTGGTTAGATATATCATTGAAGTATTCGAAAGCATCTGTTCACAGTTATTCACATGTTCTCCGCGTTTCGGGGAACGTGCAGGAAAGTTGGGAAGAACGGTGTTCTATTGATCCCTTTTTTCAGAGGCTAGGTGATGATCGGGAAAGATCGAATTAGATATACACATCGTTGACATCGACACATAAATAAATGTTCATCAATAACATCATAAACATCTCAACAATAAACAACATTCCTGGACTTGGCGCGCGTTACCATAATTCCCAAAATTTAGCGGTTTAAAAAAAAAGAAATAACATTTTGATGGTTTATTATTTATTTGCGTTTTGTTTCATACCTCTTGGTATGCGCATGCAAGGTTTTTATCAACTTCCCTTTAGTTGTTTGTTATTTTTTACGATTTTCACGTTTACCATAGTTGTCACATTTATGTAGGATTGTATCCACAGCTACCCTTGTCAACCTGCGCTACCCTGTCAACCTAACACCATAAGATTCCCTGCCTGCGTCCTATATTTTAAAACCCGAACGCTGATTTGTTTTGTTGTTTTTTTTTTCTTCCTGAGCTCCCCTTTTTTATTGGATTCGTTGTGTGTGTTTTTTTTTAACAAAGCTGTTACGTTTTTATTTGTATATGTTATCTAATGCTTGTGCATTTGTGCTACTTGTTTTTGGTTCATCAGTTTTCACATTATTCGTTTTTTTTAGTTCCCTATACTTGTGTTTTGGTTCTGCTTCTTTTTTAGTTTGTCTTCTGGCGCATGTTTTCCGTTCTCTGATTTCTCGTCATACCGTTCTGTTTCGTTTTCCTGAGTTTATGTTTTGTTCGGGCCTTGTCGCCGTCCCCCTCAGATGGATAGCCGCGGCCTGTCGCTCATGAGAAGACTGCAGGCACTGCGGCAGCCTCAGCAGCAGCAGAAGGGAGTCGCGTACCTCTCCGTCGACTTTGCCATTGCCATCTCACTGGTAGTGCGTAGACTTCTTTTATTTCTTTTCAATTTTTTTTTTTGCCTTCTTGGTAATGATATCGATTTCACTGAATGTGTTGCGGGTCTCTCACACCATCACACTGTGGAAAGTAAGCGACTTCCAACTCTTTCGGCCTCTTAGACAATATGAGCTTTAGGCAATTCAAGCTTTGTACAATTCCAACTCTAGACAATTCATGCTCCGCACCAGTGGCGCAGCCAGGATTTCGTTTCGGGGGGGTCATCGCCTCCAAAGCGGGCCCCCTAGTGTGCGGGCCCCCCACCCATTTTTCAGAATCTTTCCATATTTCATACGCATTCTGCTGAGCGGGCCCCCTTTACCTGCATGATAACCCTGAGCGAGTTTGAATCGGAAAATTTTGATAGAACAATAGCTCGGTAATCACCCGGTGTTCAATTTCCACGTGAATTGACCATGACAGAAATATGTTACTATGACGTATGAATTCGTATCTTTCGAGGCCGAAATGTGCCCCTTCCGCAATATGCATAGCATATATGCAAACGGAACTGTTGTCTGCTTCTGTCGGACAAGATTTAAGCAGTCTCACGTGCCTGTCCTAACTCAGTCATCTATTGGCTGCTGTAGTAGATTGTGCTTTATTCTTCTTCATTACGTGAATTCGCTCACAAACAGTTTTAACCCTTGCCGGCACAGGGGGAGGGGATGATGCAACCTCCCCCCTAAGGTTTTTCGCGAATAACTCGGATAAAAATCGGCCGATCGCGACCAAACTTTCAGTACCCTCGCGTTGATCAGTTTTACACCTACCCTAGAAATTTCATGACCCTGACCCAAATGGCCTTTGACCTGTGACCTACTTTCCGAGACCATGTTTGGCCAGAATCGCGATTCGGCGTATGCCGGCTCGCATTAGCCGCGCGTTTGCAGTCTTTTCGTGGTTTCAAGCATTCAAACATGTGAGTTGATGCTGCTCCCATGCATTAGGGACTAGGGTGGATGTCAAGGTCACCTGAAGGTCAGGTCAGGTCATTGACCTATGATGACCTCGGTACTTTTTTCGAATTATACATGTTTCCAGGCTAGTTTTTGGAGCTGAATCCGAATTTAGCAACCATTTGAACATTTACGAAGTAGTTTTGGTGCCTTCGTAACATGTTACGAAGCTGCCATAGGCGGCTGGCACGTAGGTACTGCGAATACTCGGCAGGACCCCTACTGGTTGACCTGACCTGACCTGACCCGACCTGGCTTAAATGCATAAAGACATCATCTGTGATCAAAACTAACATGATAACTATTCATGATCAGTACCCCGAAAAACCCTACAGCAGCCACAATTAACGACGTTCTAACAGGTCCCGATTTTCCGGATTTTTCGGTCATTGACCTGACCTGGAAGGTCAACCAATGACCAAGAACCTTAAAATTGGGTATCGTCGGCTTCCTCTCGTCACGGGGAACACGCTCGTATTTCCCGCGAAGCTCTAGCTCGATCATGGGCCAAACACGAAGGGGTCGTACCATCTTGTGCCGTCGAAGGACGCAAAATGGCCGGAATGGCCTGTGCCGGCGAGGGTTAACGCGCTCATATGGGACATGTATTGCCATGGGCCGGGTTTTTTGTGGCGTGGTGATGTGGTGACGTAGATTCTGTCTGCTATCGAGGTCCCGGCATGGTGTTACTTAGCGCGGGGTACGGGCCCGACCGTTGCGCCAAGTGCGCTGAAATTTGCGCAGCTTATACGTGCCTTTGGGCAACGTGCCTTTGAGGGTCTCAGCTCGATCGGATTGATAGCGAGCACATGACGCGTGCTCAAAAAGTGCAAATTCGCGTTATGGACTTTACATGTATGTATAAATCGGCTTGCAAAATCGGGCGAAAATGACTAAATTTGCCAGACACTGGTCCGGTCCCCGTGCAGTATCTCGGTAACCGTGGGCCCAATCGCCACGGGGTATCGTGTAGAGAATCGAAAGGGCTATCGAATGGTGTGCGGTGCAGGGATGGCACGCGCCACGTGCACCCGTGAGGGCTCTTATGCTGGGAAATTTACGTTTCGGACAGATTTGGGAGTTAATGCTATTTTCGGGTGACTGTTTGACGGAGCGGGTTCAAACAACGCCTGTTGGCAAAAGCAATGTACCGCCTCTCATGGAAAAATTGTGAAAAGCTAATTGATCAAAAACAAGGTGGAACAAATCGCTGGAGAGAATGGTATTTGTTCATGACTTACTTAATTACACGGGTTTTACTGCATAACCTGGTACGTTTGACAGTTGAAAATGGCATAGTTGGAAAGAGCATTCAATTTTGTCCAAAATCCAATCATCGCTTTTGCATGACGAGCAACAGTATTCTTAAAAATATAAATGTTGGCAACCTCTACATAGTAATTCATCGATGGCTGTCATTTTTCAATAACCTACGTCAACCGTTGTTATAAACTACACATGACATGTTCTATAGTAGAACGCATGCTTATCAGACACGAGCACCTCGATGCAATGGATATTTTTTCCCAATCCAAAATGCTTAGCCGTCAAAAAGCAATCAACCGAAATGGATACATCACCCACGGACACAAGACCAACCAAACGCCCAACGATCGAAAATACCCCTTATTCGCTTTGCGGAGCAAGCGGGTCACCCTAGCGGGCCCCATTCAACCAGGGGCCCGGGCCCTATCCACACGGGGGCCCGGGCCACGTCCACCTGGGGCTCCGGGCCCCGTCCACCCGGGGCTCCGGGCCCCGTCCACCCGGGGCTCCGGGGCCCGTCCACCAGGGGGCCCGGGCCCCATCCATCCGGGGGCCGGGCCCCGTTCTCCCGGGGGCCGGGCCCCATTCACCCGGGGGTCCGGCGTCCACCCGGGGCCCGGGGCCCGTTCTACCGGGGGCCCGGACCTATCCACAGGGGTCCCGGGCCCCATCCACCCAGGGGGCCCGGGCCCATTCTCCCAGGGGCCCGGGTCAATTCTCCAATCTCCCGGGGCCCGGGGCCCGTTCTCCCGGGGGCCCGGACCCAGCAACGGGGGGCCCGGGCCCCATGCACCCAGGAGGCCCTGGCCCCATCCACCCAGGAGGCCCGGGTCCGTTAACCCAGGGGCCCGGGTCAATTCTCCCGGGGGCCCGGGCCCGTTCTCCGGGAGGCCCGGGTCCGTTCTCCAATCTCCCGGGGCCCCGGGCCCGTTCTCCCGGGGGCCCGGGCCCCATCCACCCAGGAGGCCCGGGCCCGTTCTCCCAGGGGCCCGGATCAATTCTCCCGGGGGCCCGGGCCCGTTCTCCGGGAGGCCCGGGTCCGTTCTCCAATCTCCCGGGGCCCGTTCTCCCGGGGGCCCGGACCCATCAACGGGGGGGGGGGTCGGGCCCCATCCACCCAGGAGGCCCGGGCCCGTTCTCCCAGGGGCCCGGGTCAATTCTCCCGGGGGCCCGGGTCAATTCTCCCGGGGGCCCGGGCCCCCGTTCTCCGGGAGGCCCGGGTCCGTTCTCCAATCTCCCGGGGCCCGGACCCATCAACGGGGGGGGGGCAGGCCCCATCCACCCAGGAGGCCCGGGCCCGTTCTCCCAGGGGCCGGGCCCGTTCTCCCGGGGGCCCGGGCCCCGTCCACCTGGGGCCCCAGGCCGACCCCTCACCCGTGGTGTCCCAGTAGGCATTTCTCGAAGCGGGCTCGTCCGATTAGATTAGGGCCTCTCTCCTCCCTCTATCTCTCTCTCTCTCTCTCTCTCTCTCTCTCTCTCTCTCTCTCTCTCTCTCTCTCTCTCTCTCTCTCTCTCTCTCTCTCTCTCTCTCTCTCTCTCTCTCTCTCTCTCTCTCTCTCTCTCTCTCTCTCTCTCTCTCTCTCTCTCTCTCTCTCTCTCTCTCTCTCTCTCTCTCTCTCTCTCTCTCTCTCTCTCTCTCTCTCTCTCTCTCTCTCTCTCTCTCTCTCTCTCTCTCTCTCTCTCTGTCTCTCTCTCTCTCTCTCTCTCTCTCTCTCTCTCTCTCTCTCTCTCTCTCTCTCTCTGTCTCTCTCTCTCTCTCTCTCTCACTCTCTCTCTCTCTCTCTCTCTCTCTCTCTCTCTCTCTCTCTCTCTCTCTCTCTCTCTCTCTCTCTCGAGCGGGCCCCTGACAGAAATTTCGGGGGGGTCAGCTGACCCTCTGACCCCCCCTGGCTGCGCCACTGCTCCGCACCCTTCACATCCTGGATATTTTGGACTCTTGGTACAAAGCATACACAGCTGTCAACTTTGCTCTATCCAGCTCTCATCTTCGACCTTCGAGTGCATTTAGAGCTCGACAAAGTTCCGTTCACACATAACACAGTGAACAGGAAGCGCGGTTAGTTTGTATCGTAGGACTAAGACAGGCCAATGCCACTTAATAGAATGCCATCGCCGGCTGTGGGACTGAAAGAGACCCTTTTCACTGTCAGGAAAGTCCTGTGCTGGGGCCCATTCAAATGCATGAGCTCTGGCTCCCATATCTCACATCGCGGGAGATTCCTTCAGGAAGTGCGAGCGAGAGCTCATGTATTTGAAAAGGACTTTGCATGCGATAAGCCAGACGCGAGAAGACTCTCTTTCAGTCAGTAGTGTCTGTCATCTTCGATCAGTGCTTAGGGTCGTTCATATCGTCTTGCTGCGTCGCTTCCTACTGCAGATTAAACGGCAGCTCACTCAGAATCAATCTAAGAGTTGGAGGATGAGAGAAGGTTTGAGGGGTACGCACTAACTCCAGACAAACTTCAGAAGCTGACTACGTTCAGGCATTGACGACACAAGCATTTGCCATTAATTTGGGCAGCAGTATGTAGGCAGCGCAGCATGACGATATGAACACTGCCCCTAAAGCACTACAAAGCACAGGGGGCTCAGCGGCACCGTTATGTTTTAGTACGCCGACAAAGGCGACTGGCTACAACACTACCTGCGAGGGGCCGGCATGGAAATCTACGACGAGCGCCTGAGCCCCTCATTTGCGGGCCTGACCTTTAGCGAGACCGCCGAGTAAGTGCTGGTACCGACGCCGCGGGCGGCAGGTCACCCGGTGACCTGGCCTGGGTCGGTCGCCGGAGGGTGCTGCGCCGGGCTGCTCGCCTGAAGATATGAACCGTGGTGCTTGGCGAATGTGTGGGAAGGACTGCGGTCGGTGGCTTGGTGACGACTGGCTTGGTTTTGTCTGCTGGTTGGTGTGTGGAATTGCTGTGGGTAGGGGGGGGGGGTGAAATGGTGGAGGGTAAACGGTGAAGGGACGAGGATAGGCTGTGGTGGCGGTTATTCTCTTTCTACATCTATCTCTACCATCAGCATACCTATGAGCGCGACTATTGAATCGATCTACACGATTAACGCACTACGCAGTGATGGTTCTTTCTGATACATTTCCTCTTTTACTCACCTCGAGTTTTTCAACGAAACTCGTCACACACATTACAATAAACAGCACTTTTTGAAAGCATACAACTTCTCTTACATTTGGCAATCCAAGAAACAGCGGCATTAGTTCAAATGGAGGATCATGTTGCTCTCTTTCTGCAGGGTACCCCAACACATCCCGTTCGTGACATTGCTGCGCACTCATCACCAGTCGTGCCTCACCGTCTTCGTCTGAAGTCGTCTTTTGAGTAGCGCTTACAACGGTCCCCAACATGCGTTTATCATGCCCCGATCAGTGATTAAAACTAATCAAAACAGCGCTTATAATCGTTCCTCGCCAACATCTATAACCATCCTCAGACCGGTGTGCATAACACTTTCCCCCGACCAGCATATAGGCATTATCTAAACTACAGTGTGCAACGTTTCCCGATCATTTTCTTTAACCTTTTCCTTCCAGCGCTTGTAACTGTCCCCGGCCATCGTTTGTAACCGCTCCTGCAGACCAACGCTACCAATCCAGACTAGAGTCTGTAATACTCTCTCAACGAGCGTTTGACAAACTCCGATTTGCGGTATACCTACAACCTGAAACCCTTCTACAACCCAGTCCGACGTTCACATCAATAGCCAAACTCTCCCACCGACCGTCAAAGCCAACTCGACCAGCGTTATACCACCCCGACCTGGTTTTCTGACCGCCCGCGACTGGCGTGACAGACTCACGAAGACTACGACGAGGATTCTACGCCACCGTGGAGAGACGTCTATCACCTGGGCGTAGACTTCAATATCCACGTGGGGCCGCTGGGGCCCACGTTTTGCGACATGACCTTTCACGAGGCGGCCGAGTAAGAAGGATGGAACCGATATGGAACTTTGCTGGAAAGATGAAACGGGTGTATTATACTGCATCAGGTCGCCTTGGTAATATAGTATAGGTCAACCAATTTTCAGAGCTGTGATGAAAATACGGCTTGAATAAAACATTTAGACCACAGAGTAATTTCTTTTGTATTTGGATTAGTACCCACGATCTTTCATTTACGACATTTTCAAAGGACACCATGTGGGTCATAAACGATAAAGAAAGAGCTCAATTTTTGACGAAAAATATATGAACGGCTTTGATTCGATATTTATTGGTATTCCAAATAATCGAAATGATAATCAATTTCTTACTTTTGCTCAACTGTTTGAATTATGTCAAGTAGATTACATCTAAATTTTGCATTTATTTACACCATTCACTTGCCAAAGTCAAGCCATTTAAGAATTAGATGGATCCGATAGTTTTGTGTATTACAAGTAACAACGCTACGATTTCAACGATTGTCCATTTTCTAAATAGCAACTAAGATTCACTAACTAGAAGTTCCAAATAACAATGAAATACCGCTAGGCAGCAGGGCGGACTGATGCAGTACGATACCGGTGCACCTGCCTCCACATTTGCCACTGTTCACCGCTCTCATACATTGTGGCGTGACCTGTCGGCATTGCTTGGCGCCCTGCTGGCGTTCTGGGTCAGCTCAGAGTGATTCGATGTCAGCTCAGCGTGTTTTCTCAGCGCTCAGTGGGAGGTTCCGGGGCGAATGGCCCGTCCCCGAGTGATGTTGGGCGCTATCCCCACTCTGCGAACCCCTGTGTTTGCTACTTTGGACAGCCGACACGCTTCGGAGGTCCTTTACCGACAGCATAGAGCACACGGGATGCTTAGCGTGGTGGTGGTCTCCTAATGGTTGCATCAGGCAAAGTTGGATAGGAAACATACGAATATAATTTTTGCAAGTAGTTTGTAGTTACCTGACAATATATAAAGTTTGAGCTTTGTTTTGGTAATAAACTTTGTTACTCTGTTGATCAATCTTGACCAACTTTGCCGGGCCATAAGGAGAATGTGTTGGGGAGCAGTTTGCACTATGCGGTGTCCTTTTTATAGAAGTGGTGTGGTGGCACTGGTGTGGTCGGTTTTCTGCACCCATCACTGGGGAGTGACAGCACCAAGAGTGGGGCTTTACGCTGGGGTTTTATGACAGACACCCTGGAGATAGCTAAACAATTAAACATATCATCGCCCTCCCCGGCTCCTACTATCCCACTGTACCGGATCCGTTTTCACTTGGAGAATATGGAAAATGTTAACATTTGGCCAGTGGTATTTCTCTTGCCGACTGTCCTGCTAACTGATGAAATTGAATAAAGCTTAATTATTCTGTTTATTGAAAATTTTGAAGTGATGTTCGGCGTAAAGATCAGCTGACTTTTCGAAAGCGCAAATGCGACAGTGTCAAGCTGAAGCACCACCTACAAGACACTTGAAATATGTTTAAGCTACAGGCTGAAATACCAAAAGACGATTAATCTGATAATATATTCTGGCTCAACGCACAAAAAAAAAAAGAAGCATGTGCGTGAACAGGCGTGCCCGTAATTTTAGACTGGTTTATAATTTCAGAAAATAACTAAAGGATCCTTGTTGCTCAAGCCTCATCCGTCGCAGCAAACTACCGAAACCAATTCTGCATCTTCCAAGCGGTTACGTCGCGCATCAATATTTCCTGTGTTCCAGTGTGCATTTCTATCACCTTTGACCGTTGATTTACTGCTTTTTCGGCGAGGGTTTCTTCCAATATTCCCTGTGCTGAAAGTTGCCGCCTTTTCGCAGTCACCCGACACGCAGGCTTGGCAGAACGATTACCTCCAGGGCACGGGCTGCGAAATGTACACGGAAACGCTCAGTCCCTCATTCGTGGGCATGACGTTTCCACTGGCGTCCGAGTAAGTGCAGAGGTCACCGATAGGTGGCGCGCAGATCGTCCCGTCCGGTCGCCACCAGGCGGCGCCACAATAGCTCTAGCCTTGCATGCCACCGACCCTCGTCGGCTCACTCCTGTATGGTCATCGTCCGGTCTTCGGTCACAGCGTCCTTCAGCTGTTATGGTCAGCTCATGTCTCTTTAAGGACTTGAAAAATGTTAGCGACATTAAATTGGCGCAATGCAGCATGAAAAAAAAAATACCCGTGGACATTTTTCCGTTAAAGCTGACCGAATTTATTCCCTTTTGCGCCCACTCTTGGCATGGCGATTTTGGCTAGCGATCAAATCCAGCGTTCGTAATACATCCAGCTGAATTCGGGAGTGCAGTGCAGGGCGAAAGGCCATGCAGCCATAATCTAAATTCTGTTGGAATTTCATGACAGGTCAATGGGCGACTTGTAAAAGAACAGGCTTAATTGACGCTAGTTTTCACTCAAAATTAAAACAATGTGCAAATCTTGTTGTTGTGAGTGAAGGGTGCTTGGACTTTTGATGTCATCGGCGTCCATTTTGTTAATAATCTAACCAGTTTTTACTAATACATGTGTGATGTTTTGCTTGTCACTCTCTTTCTGACTTTGTGACGTTGACATGTATTTACAATAAGGAAGCTTGCGTTTTATTCTCTTTGAAATCACTTCGCGAATATGCCATTGCAACTTGTAGTTCGGATTTAGAATATTCTATGCTGGCCCTGATTATGTTCAAAATTAAGAACAAATTCCAGAATGGAAGTTGACTCGCAACTTCATGACAGTTCTCTGGTAAACAAGGAATCTTTGAGCCCATCTTTAGTTGTGCTTGAGATGAAGGCATTATTCATTGCATTTCTAAGCTTCCTGTAGTGCAAGCATTTCTAAATGATTATTCTTTTAAATAATTCGTGTTCTTAGTGACGTAGGTTTTTTATTGTAGTTTGGCTTTTTCTTACGATTAAGTAGTATGTTAGAAAGCAACCTTTTATCGTCTCGTTTCTCTTCATGCATGCTGTAGAGTTCATGGTTTATGAAATATGAATCATTACCTATTACATATTAAGCATTTCCAACGATACCCGGAGAATGTTTGTGTCCAGTTACATGAGTTCTAATTGGTAACTGAACAACTTTACTGTCTCGTTTATTCCACATGACTTCCTATTCCATGTTGACACGGATTCAAGACATGCCAGTCACCCACCACGCACCAAGATGTTATAGGTTTCCTGAATGTTGTCAACCTCAGCCGAACACGCTAGCCGCGAAGGCACTCGCTTTTGTTGCTGAATCGCCTCACCCCTCAACGCTTCCATCATAAGTATACAAGCTAAACCAAAATTAGATAGGCTTAGACATGCGTGCCAATAATACATAAGTGCGAAGTCTCATATCAAGCTATACCTAAATATAGTGAAAATTCATAAACGTATAATGCAAAATACAGACATTGCTCCTAAAACTAACGGTACACTTATGCTGAAGCTAAAACTTGGTATGTCTTACTTCTGTAACCAAAATTGTATATTGGGCATTATTTATCTTCGCAGCAGGGTGTAACCAGAAAATAGGGCAATTGCATGCTAATGTGCTTGTTTGTTAAGTTTGTTTATTGTTTGCATGCCGCATGGGTCCTTGATTCGCAGATGCATGCATGTGTCCATCTTACGTGCTGTTGATGGATTGCAAATCTGTCGCTAATGAGCAGCTGCAGATTACGAGTAACTGGCAATAACCAAAGTGCTTTCTTTGTACTCGTCACTTTTCACGGGCTATACTTGTGCGCTTTATGTATGTCTGCTTTGTACGAAACGTGTTTATGTTAATAGGAAGGATGTTTCTTGAAAATATTTGTTTAAAATCAAACATGTTCTGCCTAGTGGTAATAAATCGTGTGATTATAAACCAAACGTAGAAATGAATTATTTTTTATGTCAGACACTTAAATGCGGCTGTGTACGTTGGCTTCTATATATTGAGTTTATAATTGATGAATTTACCGTTTGTCAGAGTATGCCCTGATGGTCACATCTGTGGAATATTGGCATTGTGAATTTGTATATTTTAAACGCCATTAAACCCTAATATAACTTGTATAGTATAAACATGGCTTGGTTATCCCGTTCATCGTGAAACCCAGGCATTATTGGAAATGTAACGTTTTTTCAAAGTATTATTGCATCTCTTGCCAGTCGTTCTATAATGCACACCAAGCGTGTCCTGTACCCATGACCTGTGACCGGTCGCCGCGCCAGGCTGTGCTTCACCAAGCTGAAGCTGTTGCTTCTGGCCATTGAGGCGCGCGGGGATGATGGAGCCGACAACAAGATCGCCATCAACCCGCGTCACATCAAGCTGCAGCCCAACACCCAGGGCTTCTTCATCGCCCAGTCTGCCGACGAGGTCAAACGGTGAGGTCAAAAAAGAGGTCAAGTGAGGAAGGTCAACGGTGAGGTCAAATTTCAGGTCAGATGATTAGGCCAGGGCGAGATCAAGTGATGAGGCCAACGGCAATGTTTTTATATGATACAGTGACGGGCGAGGTAAATTGTTAAGGTCACAGACAGGCTCAAAGAGTGGAGTCAAGGGAGAGGACAAGGGAGAGGTCGAACAGGGAGGTTAACGGCGAGGTCAAAAGATGAGCTCGAATGAGCGGGATTGTCATATGTGAACTGTCGATCCGTAACGGCGCTGAACAGCTTTCTCCTTCCTTTCGCCACACACACAGGGCCTGGTACTACTGCAAGTCCTGCCATGAGGACATCAAGGACGAAACGCTCATCAAGAAGTGCAAGTGCAAAAACTGTAAGTTATGCATTTAGACTTGATCGGATTTGTTTAGTAGCCTGCCTTATGGGGTTTCGCGGAATCGCTCATTTTGTAAATGACCATTACGTTTTCATTCAAATCTTACTAAGAATGTGTATTGTGTTTATATTTGAGGTCCTTTTTAATCACTTAAACATGGTATTGACCAATGTGAAATGCGTTTCCTTCAATATTTATGCATTTGTCTTTATTAGAAAGTAAAACATATGTATTCCAGTGTTTAATTTAGCTACTATTAACCCCTAAAAATGAAGCGCGAAATTTTTATTTCGAATAACGAATTACGTGACTTGAAACGAAACTGCGAGCTAGGTACCCTTCTAGACCTTTCTTATGCATAGTAGGATTACGATGACATGCTATTGGTGTTATTTTAACAAAGCTATGGCTGTACAATGCATTTTTACCATGCTAGCTTAGGCATGATCGACCATTGGACAAATTTTTAAATCAAGTTCTGCGCACATTTAAGCATCGCACATTGTTTTTGGTCCATGCTAGTTCCATAACCATGTAGTTATCTCGCGTCAACACGAATTTTATTGGTTGGCGAGGATTTTGTCGCATCCTAGGGACTTTGTAAAGATCTTTGTAGACTCTTCCATGCATACGATATTGGACGATATCACAAATATCATGTCGCTTCCTGTTCCACACAGCAAGGCCAAGGTCAGAATTTAACATTGGAATATCATGTGGTTTTTGACTGGCCTCTTGCCTGACAACAAGCCGTTCAACTGACGACAGATTCTCAGTTGGCGAATGCCTCAAAGCTGAAAGCGTTTTTGTTGACTGCTCTTAAACTGACAAATCACCTCTGAAATTGTAGGAATGAACGCTGCGCCACCAGACACCGGCCACAACATCTGAACTCTGGACTTCCTCAGACATTAGGGTCACTATGCTGACATAATCTCTGACACCTGCTGACCCGTGACCTTTGACCTTCGATCCGACCACTATCTCTGTAGACATCCCACTAATTTGCTGACATTGACTTGTGACTTGACCTATCTGCAGAAGGGTCGACTTCTGCTTGGGAACCTGACCTCTGACCTGACCGCGACCTTAGTTACCGTCGGTACTTCTTTGCTAGCCGAATAACTTTCCACGCAAACATCGACTGCTCCTTGCTAACCTAACCTTTGACCTACTGCGACCTCCGCCGCAGACATCGGGACTACCTTGCTCACATCAGGTCTGGTGGGCCGAAATACGAACGGTGGTTGGCTTCAGAACGGTAACCGTGTGCTTTGTCCCCGTCCTGCGACCTCCCTCCCCTCGCGCGGGCCCATCGAGCTGGTCGCAGACCCCCTCTCCGCTGAGCTGATCGCAGCAGAGGAACAGTGAATCGACGGCAATTCCTACCACTACTAAATGTTAACTGAGTCGCTTAATTTTTAGCATGTCATTCATTTCATTCGTGTAGCAACGGTTACGTTGGAAATTTTGTGTATGTCGATACGATTTTGGATATTCCAAAGCTTTTTTTTTGAAGTGATATCTCACATTTTTTCATTAACTTATAAAACAAAAATAGAGGACCTGTCACTCATAAGAAAAACCAGGTTTTTTTTCGCAGGGATTGACACCTGCATTGCTGAAAGCTCGCGAGTTTGCGCTGAAGGTTTTACCGTCGATCGACTGCCCTCCTCTGCCATACCGCGCGTTAACGCCATACTATCCCATACTGCCATACTGCCAGACTATGCGACAAATCCCGCTTCGTTGGCTTTCGTTATTACCGTGGTCGTCTACGGTGTCAGTCCGCTTCGAGCTTGACTTTGAAGCTGAGTCGCTCTATAGGTAATCCACAGTTTTTCCACAATCCCACAGGTCTTCAGCCTTTTCGTTGAACATCTTTGACACGATAACTTAGAGAAAACAGCTATAAATAACCCAACAAAACATTCAGAATACAAGCGGGTAGTTTTGTCGGAGCACCCTTCCCATATCTTCAAGGAATTATGCCTACTAATCCAGTACTTCACATAGTTACAACCGATTAGAGTTCACTTCCACGCACACAGCACACCTTGCCATTTTGCAGACATCCGTCATAATCAAAACACAAACATTAAAAATAGCACTGCGGCCAGAAACATCCATATCTGACAGATTATGCTGCCTTGGTCGACAACTTCCCGAAAGATCACATTCGACGAATCAGATATATCGATCAGGTCATGGATGGCACGCTTTAAAGGAAACGACCTTTTCTCATGGTTAATCGACATTTTTAGGGCGGACATTTTTCCCCTTAGGACATTTTTCCAAGTTCACCCTATTTTACGCCACTTTGCGCAATTTTACGCCAGTTAGGACGTGGCCGTTCGACATTATCGAGGCGGGGAGACCTCAGGACATCTTTACCTATTTTTACCTCATCTTACGCCATTTTGCGCCATTCTTTCCGCCTCAATTTCTCAGCAGACTGGTTTCATATTACCGGCGCCAGACGCTTACCGAAGCTCTAGCCCCTGTCACCATTTCGTGTTATTGTGTGGCGTCCACTCATCAGCTACAAAACTGTAGCGATCTATCCTTCATGTTATTTCACTAACTCCAAGCTAACTCCGTGACGTGCTAACTTTGTGCTAACTCAGTGCCGTGCTAATTCTGTGCTGTGCTAACTTTGTGCTAACCAAGCCGCACAGCGTCGGAGGCCGGGATTGAACCGGCGGCGGGCGGCGGTGCGAATCACGCGGGACCCCCTGTTCGGGCCAGGCCGGCCAACGCGAAACGTTAACCAGCCAACACGTTTTCATAGCACGGAATATTCGCATGCTTCGCCATGCTTTGGATGAAGCTGTTAACCTCTCACAAAACTGAACTTGTGAGATACGGGAGTTTGTTTTATCATTGAATGATTATCACTACATTGCATTAAATATTTTCACTATGAAATGCTCTGGTCCCTTAAAAAGTATTTTTCGTGTTTATTACGTTAGCGACCATAAATTATTGATCCACTTGACCTGGCTAAACAATAAGCATTTCTTAAATAATTATCATAGTGGACCAGATTTCACACTTCCCGATAAATAATGATGTAACGTATGCAATCACATAATACGCAAAAGCAGTGCGCTTTTATCGTTCCCTTTAAATCTCAGTCACTCAGCGGGTCCCGTTTATTTCCCTTCAATCTCGCCGCCGCCCGCCGCCGAGCCGGCGGCGCCGGCGCTGTGATGACGTCACCCCGTCTGACGTGTGACGTCACTGTCTGGTCTCGCAGTGGCACTGTTCCGTAAGGGCGTCCGCGCCGTGCAAATGGTCGGCAGAGCAAGTATGTATGCTCCCGCGAGTAGCCCGTCGCCCACTCTGTTCTTATGCGCCGCCATCTTGTTTCTTGCTCTGTCGCTTCCTTTGGCTCTGTCCACGTTGAAGTCTATAAACCAAAGGGAATGCAACGTTTCTTGGCTACGAACCTGGCAACGAACCATGCCACATAAATTGCTAATGATTTAAGCGATTGCACAGCCGTCCCATAGCGATGCGTTTTATGATGTTTTGCTGTTTTACGAGGTGCGGTAAAGTGGTCGAAATGGTTCGACCGCCCAGAAACGGTGCATAACCAAGTGGCTTTTATGTGACTTTAACGCTTCGTTGTCGGCTTTAGCGTTTTATGGTCACGTTGAAGCAAATCACACCCCTCACTGCAATTTATTCTCGGCACTTGTTCATCACCTCACTCACTGGAATTTGTGGTCTTGAGCGTCCTCGTTTTTAGCTGCACTTTTTGTGACGTCGGATGGTGTAAGCAAGTTAAATCTACGCCTAATGGTTAGTGAAATAATTAACTTATCTTTGTATTCCAGTATTACTGGTAGGCTTGTCAAAAATAAAACACTTTCTGTTTATTTTGAGGAAATTTAATAAAAAATCGATTTTTTGGCTTTAGCTGAAGAGGACATGTATTCTAAAAAAAAAATGGAAGTGAATAAGCCACGGAAGCTCAAAAACTGCAAATGAAAACGGCTACTTCGGCAATTCTGACCTAACTCTGACAAGCGAAATATCAAATATATAGCATAATTCTAGACATATGAAATACCCAATGGTAAATAACAATGGAAGTTAGTGGATCCAAACAGTCACAGCCAATTTTCCTTTCGATATCCACACGTGAAACACCGATACGGTTAATGTTCAAGGCATTCAATCTTCAAGGACCTATACAGTGTATTCAAATACACCACCTACAAATGCACCACTTGACGAACAAAAAGAAAGCTAACACGCATTGTGCAGTTATCTGGGATGTAGCGTGTTTCACTGTCTCACTGCACTGTGTGCAGTTTGGTCACCGGTGTTCAGTTAAATGTTAATCTTCCTCACAATGCGTCACGCTCACAGGTAATCCTAGGAGCATAGCTATCCTCTGATAGGTCCCAGTTAAAAGGACCCTCCCACCTTCAAAAAAGTTTATGAATTGGCATGAAAGTGATGTCGCTCGGTTCAGAAAGAGCGAAAACGAATATCTACCAAATTTCACCGAAAAATATTCACCGGTTTTCAAGATATTAGACTTTTACTTTTGTTTACTTTTTGGGATCTCCGTTGTTCCTAGCGACTTTTTTGGAAACAATAGTTTACGCAGCTGAAAGTGCGGCACTTGTTGCGCGCAAAGCAGCATATACCACCGCATGCTACAAAACGTTTAAGTCAAACATTTAAAAATCGTTAGATATGTTGAGATAGCCAAAATGGGGTCCCTGGCTCACAATTACCGGTTTCGGCACTCACAACATCGAGAAATGCCTTAAATCGGAAATATTGAATTTCAAAATTGCAGCATTTTGATTCAGAGGGGCTAATGCATAGGAATACCCCTCTGAATGTGTGACGTCAGCGCAGCTAATGTTAAGGTGGGAGGGTCCCTTTAAACTCTGATTGGTTCATAGCCCATAAGCCATCCGATTAATCCGACAGACCAAATTTTGGTTGGTCATGTGTTGGCCTACTTGACTTCTGTGAAGAATTTAGGGCATTTCAGGTTTCACCTTCTTGTCGTGGAATTATCGACTGGATCAAGCGACGTGCCGCATATTATATGCCACTTGCCGGCTAGTTATACCGGGTGGCCCAGAAAAAACGTTCCCAACTTTGAATCAATATTTCTCAGAAAGTTATAAAGATGCAACACTGAAACTTCCAATAGTCAATGCGGCATATATTTTCAGTAAATGGTATGATTTTTATGTTATTCGGTCAATTACTTTTTAAACGGTTCGTGTTCCTAGCATGCCATGTGAAAATTACTTTTTTGCTCAGATGTTTACTAAAAAAATGTGAGTGAACGGGCCATTTCCATCTCGGCACCATGGCCTGCAGCCATGACTGCTATTGGCAACTAGTCTCATTGGTTCAGGCCTCAGGGTGACACAATCCCTCTAGCTTTTTCCTTATTCGGTCGATTTACTGTTTGATCTTCTTGAAGGGAGGGCGATCAGCAGTAACCCATGCACCGTGCCACTCCTACTCGAAACAAGACCTAGCGTTGAAACGAATGGCATCCATTAACACCATTTTGGCTCATTATTTGAATATTTGGCACATAAGTGGGATAACAATATTTAAAATAACAACACAGGTGCTAGTTTCATTCAGGTGCTCTATTGTTCCTTTTTTTCTAACATGGTACGTCTAAGCCAATCATCAGTACCGTTCAACATCGGCAAAAAAAGCAAAAACGTCTTACTTACTTCAACATAAGATTGCTGGCTTAAAAATGATGGTACAGTCAAGTGTTATAATTTGGCATGCCAGTGCGCAAAGAAATGACGCAAACTTGATGAAAATTTTGGCTCGTTTTTTGCACTGGAATTTGAGATATAGGCCTCCAAAGTTCGGAACGTTTTTTTTTTTTTTGGCCACCCGGTAGGTACACTTTTTTCTTGTAACACATGGATGGACTACACGAGTAAATCAAACAGAAAGAGCGTCGACCTTCTGATATGAGCATTTCAAGCTTATTGATGACGAATAATCACGCTACTGAAAATATCAGCTTGCTGCATTTTTCCTGGGTCAATATACATTATACACTGCACAAATGCATTCATTTTACAGCGAACACTATATAAGCTGTTAAGATATCTTTGAAAATGCTTTCAAGATCCTTACATCCTCCTGATCACAGATAATTCATTGTCGCTGATGGGACTAAGTCTGTAAGCATTCTCTAGCAAGTGTAGTTCGCTTATTTCACGTTGCACCGACAAACCAAAACACTTCCAAAGGGCATCAGTGATTCTGTGGAACGATTCGATACCCCGTCCCACTCGGATAGGGCTCTGAAGTTGTTGCATGCTTTGATGTTTCCGTCGAAAGTAACACCGTAACACCCTGCTTACATGTTGGCTTACATTTCTTCGTAACTGAACTGATTCGTGTACCGGGTGAAAGGACTATCCCGATCTCTTCTGCATGGTTTTATCGATGTAGCGCATGCAATGTTTAATGATCGTGTAATGTTTCTATAATGTTTATATATTATTGTCAATGGAGAACAGTGTTATAGCATTCGTTAAACATTGTGTGATGTGTTTCGAAAACTTGAAATTGTCCTTTGGAGTAGGATACTATAGGCCTGGCTACACTATGCGTTTTCTTCGTGCGTTTTTTGCGTGTTTGCGTGTTTTGCGTGATATCGTTCTAGAAAAAAGAACGATATTACGTTTTTGTGATGTTTTTCACGTTGAATTTTAGTTACATAAGAGTTATATTAGCTTTTGTATATAACCAAAGTAAAAATTATATTGTTTATAACTTTTTTCCTAGAACGATATTACGCAAAACACGCAAACCTGCAAAAACGCACGCAGAAAACGCATAGTGTAGCCAGGCCTTATGAGGTTATACGAGATATAGTATTGCTTTCATTTTGCATGGGTTATCTGAATGTTCATATGAGGAAACAGCCGCCATTAATACCGACTTCCTCGTTATGTCTGCTATCTTTTGCAAACATTTGAGACAATCAACTCAAGCTTTTGAATTAAGGATGTAATTTTAATCTTATCTGTTTACCTGTATTGCAAACAGCCATGGGTAACAACCACTGGGTAGCTTTTACGGAGGAAAAAGTCTGCTGACGCCAATTTCGTGTATAATTCAACACACCAAGTCAGCGTTTTGCCGTGTAAAACTGTACAACTGAGGTGTCATCGCCTTAAGTGTGTCTCTGGAACGATACAATCAGACAATCTTGTTGCACTGGGAAATCTTCGGTGATAGAGTTTGACCTTGAAAACCAAATTGCAGAACTATTCAGAAGTCACACATCACTTTGCTTCATCTCTGTCTACTTTTTAAGGTTATAACAAAGCTCAGTTATGTAACACAGTAAGTTGTAATGATACCAATTTCTTCACGTAGAGTAGCTGACTTTAACCAACTATCTCACAACCTGCCTTAAAAATGAGATATTCTGAACTCTGAAAACACCGAAGGTTTCCGAGAGTACCACCTCACCGACTACGTCAATCCTCCAATGTCCATTCGTCCGTGTACTGAACTGCTGTTGTCTCTGTCGCTGTGAAGCCGAAAAGCCGGACTCCAATGGGTGTAAGTTTCGCTCGGTTCTGCTATTCCATTTCGCTTTCTTAGTTTGCTCGGCCAAGTTTATACCTTTTGCTCGCGCCGTTAGCGACTGCGGGGCCGGGGTGCCGGGAGGGGGCGGCTCGCACCTCCAGCGGACCTGCCGATAGTAGTGAACGGAATGCTCTACAGAACACGATTTCTAGATAGACGGAATGGGGCCCGCTCGCCGGTCGCTAATCTTGCTTCGGTAGATGCTGAATCGGTATTGGCGTGCCGATTCGTCGCCCTAAAGCAGTTAGATGAAATGACTTATTGTTAGTGAACGAACAGACCATTGATCACGGCTGCATTAAATGTTGTTTAGATACGTCTAAGAAGACATAAATCTCCTAATTTGACAGGTGCATTTGTTTCTATCGACTCTAAAGTAAACTGTAATGTGTATATGAAAAATGTGATTCATGCTTTATCCGTATGAAATTTCGGTTCTATCAATTCTTTCTTTGTAAATGCGGTCTGTAGTCGGCGAGAAGACAGCTTCCTGCTGATAGATGCCCAAGCTTCTATTGATTTTGATGTACATATATACCTGTTTGATGATGATGATTCACTGTACATATGAGCCCAGCTAGAAACCCTGTATGAGTAGCTTTGTTCGTTTGAGAGTTTTTCTACGCACTAGCCTGCGTTATATGACATTTGATATTCACCATTTGTCAACTGTCACCCTGTTTAGGATTCTCGCGCTAAGATTTTCTTGCACACGAATCTGGCTTATGTTAGAACATATTTCATCTAAATTATTATTCAAAATAAAGGTTCGATCGCAATCCATCAACATTTCTCATTCAATTATTTCCGAATTTTCGGCGCCTTCCCCGTAACAAAGCTGATCTTATAAATAGAGCTATCGGGAAATATAGTCGGTGCTTATTCTTACCCCGAATCGATTTATTAAGTGACATTAGGTATCACTTCAGAACTGTGATATCACTCACATCTCTTTTTATTTTCAAGAATCCAAAGCCACTTATCTGATTGGCAGATAATGTATGCTATGGTTTCACTCTAACTAACGTAACTTATGAATGCAACATGTACCTAAATAAGCTACTGCAAAATGTTCTTCGTAATTATTCAAGACCTCGCACATGCGTTCTTTTGGTTTTCGTCCGTTCACTTTTCTCTCATTGTGTGCAGTCACCTAAGAGTGAAGTTATTTATTCTCTATATTCTCATTCATCTGAAAATATGGGCGTGGTTATGATATCCCAAGTCACTGTAAAATATGCAACATGTATCATTTCTATAGATCGTGAGGTGCATCGCTGGTAAGTTTAGATTAGTTTTTAATCATCTCCCAGCCTGCAGAAAGCAGACATGCTCTAATAGATTCATGTCGCATGTCTTAGTTACCTCCATTTCCGATATCTTCTCTAAACGTTGGGAATGTTGTGTTTGGTTACTATCCATACATGTTAAATGTTTTGTTTCGTTTATTTCTTCTACATCATTACGGATCCGAGAAAATCAGTACAAGTAGTGTTAGCAACACAGCAACATAAATATATCGTGTATAGCAAGTGCTATTAATATCCCAAAATATAAAGAAATTGTTAAGTAACAATTGTTAAGGTTGTTGTTAAGTAACAACAACCAGTACTGGTTGTTCTGGCTGGCTTGCGTTTATAACAGTGCTCCGACGACGCCCTAACGTCTTTACTTTTCTATCTTTTTCGAGTTTTGGCTTACCGCTATCCTACATGAATCTATTAAATCACAGCATAAATATAGTTGTGGCCCACGGCCATTTCAAAACAGCAGTGCAAGGCGTCTGCCCGAAAAAAGCGTTGCAACAAACCGACATATCTGGTTGTCATTTGTATTTGTGGCCTTTCAGGAAGTGCGTTCGGCATTTTCACTGTGCTGACCAGTGAAGTTACGTTTTGGACAACGGCTGTGAAGAGTTTTCACCAGTTCTTTCCCCATTAAAGCCCTGTGGTTCGCCGCTCCACCCTGTGGCACTGACATGACCTTGCTCCACAGGTTTTCAGTTACCCTCTCCGACCCTTTGACCTGCTGTGGCTGCCTGTGACCCACTGTGTTGTGTTTTGTGTCTGTGACCCCGTGACCTGACCTGGCCGATTTTCAGTGGCTCTCTCCAGTCAGAACAGCTCCACGCCGGGCAAACCGGCCAACGCCGGCCTCCTGGAGGCCGCCAAACAGCTCACCAAGATCAACAAGAACGGTGCGGGGGACATCAGCCCTCAGGGGCTCGGATACAACAGGTAGGTGGTCCTTAAGCGCTCATAGTTGTATCAGTGGAACCAGAACTTCCTGGGAAATTCTGATCCTATGATGAATATCTGACAGCGAAATGTGAGCATTGGCTAATTTGCTAAAGTCGAATTAGCAAAGTTGATTTCGAAGCTGGACTAGGGGGTTGTCACTTGACCCATAAGACAGGTCAGTGAACCGTGTGCGTTTAAGGGGACAGTTACTGGACTCCTAGTCCTATAGGACAGGAACTGGTCTGTGAGGGCAGTCATATGCCTCTGCCGTCACTCACTAGACTTTACAGAGACTGGTGATCAACTGTGGCAGTCAGAACCTCTGAGAGACTCGTTTTTAGCGAATGTTTTTTTTTCGAATCGAATACCTACGGCAGAATCTACTTAGTACAACATAGTGCGCATTTACGGAAGGCAGTCTGAGGTTGACTCGGCGTAATTTTACCTTGTGAAAGGACCTGAACAATTTTGTTTTTACTGCTTCACTTCAACACCATAGCAGAGCACGACAGAGTTTACCTATGGGTACTATCCTTAGCCCCATGGTATTTATCGCGACACTGTGACTAACCGCTCCCTCTCCAGTGACTAAATACTCCTGTACCACGGCCTTCGGTCTATACCAGATCAGCTACCGCTTTCGTGTGCGTGTGACGTGTGCTGTGACCTGTGTGCTCCCATATATTCGCCACCGTACTGTTATTTTTTCACTAACCTTGCAGGCTTCCAGAGGACGCTCCGCCAACTGGTTACCAGGCGCAGCCACTCGCATACGAAGTGAAAAAGCTACTGTACGCTAACTACTGGCGGAAGCCCGGTGTTTCTCTGTCTGTTTGTATGTCTGTGTAGAGACCCTCGATTGTGGCTGCGGAGATGTAGTGAGCTGGCTGACCTGCCATGGCAGATTGTGTAGTAGTGTAGTGCAGCCCTTTCGCGCTTCGCTAAAAAGGCTAGTGTAGGAAAGCTGTTCTTTTCGGAATGCGTCTGTTCGAGCTTCTTGAACTCTGAGAAGCCCTTAACTGTCATCCTGCTGTCATAAACCCGTTTCGGAGCATCGTGAATAGGTCACCTTTAAAATAGTGCCTTTCGTTTTTACGACTTTCGATCCTCTCAATCCACAAGGTTTTTATCATTGGTCAAAGTTTTTTCCCTGTTTTTGGAAGGCATACTAAACGACTAGCTAAAGGTCATGCCTGAACGCTTTCATTGCTGTTCCATATCGTTCTATTCCAGACAAAAAAACAAACAAAACAAAACTGTTCTAAATTTAGGTCAAACTTTGTTATGTTCTGGAAATGCGTGAAGGACAGCAGTGCTCAATACTTGAGTGTGACGTCTAATACCATATGAAATTCGGTGGGATTATCATTCGATATGAGACTTGGCCTCCGTGCCTTATAAGAAGTGTATTACTCAATTTTTGCGGCTATCACATACAGTTTACAGCATATTCACTTGTAATTTATCCATCAGAATGGGTGGAGCGTTTTCGTCCTCAATAACTTTCTTCACAAGCATACGCGGGCATCGTCATCCTATTCGTGTTAAATCATGTATTTCCTCTTGCAGTTCTACCGTTGGCTGATTGTATCATTATATTATGCATCTTCCCAGGATTGTAGATGTAGCGTTGCACGTTGGAAGTTAGACCAAGTCGTGACATGGTTATTCAACATTCATCTGCTTCAGTATGCTGTGTGTATTTCCTTTTAGCCGCCAAAGTAGTGCGCTTTTGTCCTGTTACTGTTACCCTGACGATTGTGTCTATGCAGATACCCTGCATTTACTCCGAGGCATGTTGCACGGGGATACTTTGAATCCATGCCCATCGTATAATTACCCACAAGTTACCACTAAACTAACATATTAGGCTTGTTCTTACATGTGCCTATACCGAAAAGTTAGCTGAAAAGTGAGGCATCGTTTTGGTGCATCCAATGACTAGCTTTGTCTTCTTTAGCGTCATTTATTCTTTGCAGCAAAGTGGCTGGTGACCTTGCGGTTGCTATTATGCCCCACTGCAATGGCGTTGTGAAATTCGCGGATGATATGAACAGAAAGAGCTACCCAAACTACGGCTCATTTGAGTTGTCCCAGTTGTAAGTTTTTTGCATTTGGTTTTTATCATGAATTCCCATATCTGGTATACGGTTACGTTTGATTTTGAATAATCGTGACTGAAGTATTATAGTTAGTTGGTGCTGGGCAAACATATCTTCCACTTCAAGCAAAATTTTATGCGAGTTTTTAATGATAGTCTGGTCAAAGCAGCAAATATGTGATGGTGATGGTCTATGATGAGAGTGACTGGTTGGAAAGGCCGATGATATTAGCAGCTGAGCAGCAATGTTCAAATGAAGCATCAACCATCTACCGACAGGACGGTTGTAGATTTATTAAAATTTTATGCATCTTACTGTATGCCTAATTGCCTATCCATGACTCGTCCATGCAATGCGATAGTGTTGACCATGCAATGCATGTGGTAAAGGGCAATATGTACGGTGATGGTGCCTGTCTGATGCGTATGATGAAAGGCTCCTAGAGTTTTAGATGCATGGTATGCGAGGTGGTCGCACCTTGTCATGCTGCATAGAGGCTAAAAACGGTTCGGCTTCGAGCCTGTCCCCCCCCCCCCGTTCGTGAACTGTCAGACCTCTTTGAGGGACAGTTATCATATTCGATCTTGAATGATCGCTGAATCATTAGACGTAGAAAATGATTGGACTTTTCTTAAACGTACCTATCCAGCAATGGCTTGTCATAACATTTTTTACTGTCGAGGGGCTTTTAAATTTTTGTTCTCTTTACAGCCATGAATTCAATTAAAGGAAACTTTATTTTGCAGCCAATTTGTAGGATGGGTTATGCGGCCTAGAAACAAACAAACAAGTCTCTCTCAGGCAATTATTGTCACGCTATTAGTCTCTGTTTCGATGATTTCTCAATAGCAGCATCTAACCTGTCGGATGTCTGATCACTATAACTGACCTCTTTTGACCTTTAACGAACTCTATTGACTTTTGTTGACCTTTGCTGATCTCTACTGACCCTTGATTACCTCTGTCAACTTCTTCATACCACCTTATCTAGGCTCTATTGACCTCCTTCGCCCTTTGCCTACCTCGCTTGACCTTCAGTGACCTCTGCTGACCTCCAACTGACCTCGTCTGACCCCTCAGCCCGGCGTCGCGCGCCGCGGGCGTTTTGACCTTCAGTGACCTCTGCTGACCCCAACTGACCTCGTCTGACCCCTCAGCCCGGCGTCGCGCGCCGCGGGCGGTACCAATGCCGGTCCCGGCGGCATTCAGTCCGGCATTGCCGACGACCAGTCCAAGGACTTTGACTTTGAGAAGACGGAGATGAAGTACGACAGTACGGGCATGTTCCACTGGTGTCCTGCCAGACCCATGGAGGACTGCATGCTGGTACGTGCAGATGTCAGTAGGTATGTGTGGCTGCTTCTTGAGGGCATGGGGGGGGGGCTAGTTATCGTTGGTACTGACGTCCGAGATCGAAATGGTATGGTCTGGCTTGGACCTATAAAGCACTCGAGAGTCGAGTTGTAACCTTAAGCTTTTATTCCTGTGATATTTACTCTGAATGCATAAAGTCGGAAATGAGAAAAAATTCGTAGGTAATTGATTGTCTAATGTCTATTGCTCATGCTAACTCATAAAACACATGCTTTGGAAATGAAATGTCACTCAATTTCGCCGAAACAGTAGCCAAAAAGGTTAATTCCGGCAGCATCATTCCGCCATGCACTGCACCCCTGACGAACGTTTCCCACTATGTGAATATGACGTCATTTACCACTGACGTCATTCACCACTGACGTCACGTATTTGTGACGTCACAGGACCGTAACCAGGCGGCCATGACGGTTCTCAATGGACACGTCGTTGTGTGCCTGTTCGCCGACCCGGACTCGCCGCTTATTGGTAAGTACTGATTACCTACCCAGGAGTTAGAAGTGTTAGGCACACATATAACGGTTCTTTCATATTCAGGCTTATTATTCATTATAGCTTCTACACATAATGGAAACGTAATGGTGAAGAAGCACGCAGCTTAGAAGACCCCTAATCAACGGAAAGGACCCGTTTGTCCCGATGCTTTTTTATTAAAATGCAAAAGACATTCGATAAGCCTGGCGAACTATAGAGCCTGACAGGTAGACTGTGCCGCACGAGCCCCGTGTGTTGCGGTCTAGTCTACCTACGTGTTGTCCGACAAATTGGAGCCAAGGAACTTCAGTAAAACTCTCCGTATCGTTCAACGATTGTTTTGCGAGTCATTAGCAACTTTTGTCGTTAAATATCCTGACCATATTCCACTCAAATTTGCAGTATCGCATCGTTATTCGTCGTTATTACTGGGCAGAACATTTAGTTCTGTAAACAAATCTGAGAGAAGATATCAGGTTTGGGAACAACTCTTATCTTTCTGCCCTCAGGCCTGCGTAACTTGGTGATGCCGCTGCGTGCCTCAAATTTCCACTACCACGAGCTGAAACACGTGGTCATCGTGGGATCGGTGGACTACGTGCGCCGAGACTGGAAAAACCTGCAGAACCTGCCCAAGCTATCCATCCTCAACGTGAGTGCTCGTATATTATCCTCCGTTGTTATCCATACCAACCGAAACGGAAACCTGCCAGGATATTTTGTTGACATCTTGCCACGTCTTCATTACGTCATACCCTTCCAAGGCTTTGGCTTATTGTGTCTATCATTGTATTGTGTTTTACTCATTACTGAGCTGGATGATTCTTCTCAGTGACTTTGTTTCCCAACGAGGGACCCACTGACACTCTGTTGTTGACAGAGCTGGCCTGTCCAGCTGTACTGTTGTTACCTAGCGCGCCCACTTTGATGACACATTCTTCACTGACATTTCATTGTTGACAGGGTTCTCCGTTGAGTCGCGCCGATCTACGGGCAGTCAACGTCAACCTCTGTGACATGTGTGTCATTCTGTCGGCAAAGGTGAGAGAAGAATCGTTACCAGGGATTGTTTGGAGATGCTCACCAAAAGAACAGGGATGGTAACACGTAACTACTCGGTGGCCATTGGGCACAACAAATATTGCTCTGGGCTATTCACTATTCAGGTTTGTTGTTTATTGCATCTTTGACGCACACAAAAATAAAACGAAAGCTGTAGCGCCGATTCACGGATAACGATTTCCTTTTAAAAACTGATTCGTCCGACCTAAAGAATTACCATCAGTTGACCGTGTCTGTCTGATGTCTCGTCAGGTGCCTGGCCACGACGACCCGACTCTGGCCGACAAGGAGGCTATCCTGGCCTCCCTCAACATCAAGGCCATGACGTTCGACGACACCATCGGCGTCCTTAGCCAAAGTGAGTCCGGTGCTGATTGTCCGTCAAGCAACCGTCAGCAGCTCGTTGAATTGTTCGTTTTTTTTTTTTTTGGTAAATGGTGGAACCTAGTTGATATTAGCAGTTTTCACGACGGCCATCTGGTGCACATTTGGTGCAGGTTAGGTGCAGATTGGTCAAATCAGGTTCAGTGTGTCTCTTAGCAGCTATCAGCTAAGGTTGCATTAATTGCTTATATGCCTGCTTTGTCATATTATCAGAGAGTACCATCATTAAAACACTGAAATCCATTCATAAAATGAAGATATTTGCTGTAGAAGAGATTAGGTGCAGATTTGGTCAAATTATGTGCATTCGCCGGATAGCCCGTCGTGAAAACGGCTATTTCCAAGCAGTAAATTGCAGGCTGACTCAGTGTTCTCGAAAGGATATTATCACAGTTGGTAGGTTCAATTTGAAGGTCATTTTATTTTAATTGCCAAAGCGAGGTTTTCATTGGGCGTGATTGAACTGTTGTTCGAAAAAATTTACCTAGATTGAAAAAGCTTAACTTTTGTCTCTGATTTCTCGCCAGGTCCGATGGCCGGAAGTCAGACTCCTCTCGGCAGTCCAATTGTGCTCCAGAGGAGAGGTTCGGTGTTCGGGGCCAACGTGCCCATGATCACAGAGCTCGTCAACGATTCAAACGTCCAGGTGAGCAGATTAGTCTTCTGATGATCAGCTTCGATCATTCCTGTAATGGACCGATCAGTCACTCTAACGTTCACGTTAGCTGATCTGTCATTCTAAATCATGAGCTAGGTGGTGAGTTTAAATTGTGGGTTGATTGCTCTCAGCATGTCGGTGGGTTGATCAGCAACTTCAAAAGCATGCTAGTTCTGGTCGCGGCTCGTCCAGCCTGTTGCTTCGATGATGTGCATTTATTAGACATCCACATAAACTTGTCCTTTATGACTGTTTTAGGGACTATGCTTCTCTTATCGCGTCTTGTCTAGCTGTTGTCACACTGTGTCCGACTATTAACTCGCCTTGTCTAACCCTTCCCCTTATGTGACACCCTCTGACTGACCCCTCCACCCCCAGTTCCTGGACCAGGATGACGATGACGACCCCGACACGGAGCTGTACCTCACCCAGCCGTTCGCCTGTGGCACGGCCTTCGCCGTCAGCGTGCTGGACTCACTCATGTCTACGGTCAGTCTCAGTTTCATTTTGTGTTAGCTTTTGGACATTTCGACCGAAAACGGCTATTTCATGCCCACGTGGTAGGTTTACATACATAATGGGGCAATTATGTGGCCCCATGGAAAAATAATGGGTTACTAACGGGCCAAGGAACTATTTGAGGTTAACCTTTGCAATTTCTACATATCTTAGTCTTACCATACGACCTACTACACTACCCCTTAGGATCCGCTCATGTTTGTCTGAAAACAAAATTTCCAGGCCGTAAGTATTTCTATTTTCTAACCGCTGTCGTTCGCTTTTTCAGACGTATTTCAACCAGAACGCGTTGACGCTGATCAGGTCCCTGATCACTGGAGGGGCCACACCAGAGCTGGAGCTGATCCTGGCAGAGGGCGCCGGCCTGCGTGGAGGCTACAGGTCAGATGGGGTCGGATAGAGGCTACAGGTCAGGTAGGGTCGGTCAGAGGCTACAGGTCAGTGGGGGCTAGGTAGAGGTTACAGGTCAGTCAGTCGGGTAGAGGCTACAGGTCAGTCAGTCAGTCGGATAGAGCCTATAGGTCAGTCTGAGTCGGTCGAATAGAGGCTACAGGTCAGGATTATTCCGCATAAGCTGCCACTATTCTGACTGTTTTTCCTGCCTAGCACGCACAAATTATCACAGCTATGCATATTACGAACTGTCATCCGAAAGCCGTCATATCTGACTTGATCAACTGATCGCTCGCCTTCCAAGTCTGTTTCGATAATTGTTGATTATCCATGACAGATTGACAGGTATTGCTTCGACAAATCGTTTCTGATATTCCAGCTTCTATCACACAGACCCTTCTAGACCCTTCTATAAGGGTCTTCTGCCTTCTCTCCCACATATTCCTTCCCTTTCCTTTCGCCCGCTACTCGCTCTTCCTCCTCCCAAGCTCACATCCCCCTCTCTCTTTGACAGCACCCCGGAGACGCTGGGTAACCGCGACCGGTGCCGGGTGGGCCAGATCAGCCTCTACGACGGACCCCTCGCCCACTTCGGCGAGGGAGGTCACTATGGTGACCTGTTCGTGGCCTCGCTGAAGCAGTACGGCATGCTCTGCATCGGCCTCTATCGGTGAGATTTATAGCGTTTGTTGGACTTTGTTTGTTTATTGGGGCTTAAGGGCGCGCCGACTACAAGGTCATTTTGCGCCCATAACTATATAAAAGTAAAGCAAGTAAGTCACAAGAAAACCGACGTAATAAAAGGCTTAAAAAAGCCTAAAAGCTGGTTAAAAAGAGCAAAGAAGGGTAAAATACTCCAAGCGTATCGTAAAAGACAGCTGACTAGGCGTAAGGACTTGTTGGACTGAAGTCGTGTCTATTCTGTGGTGCGTTTTGCTGTGGGATGGTAATTATGATATGGGATATGCATTAAGAGCAATAAGCAATGGCATTGTGATATGCATAGCGAATGCAATAGGTATTGTGGGGATTGCTGAGCCGATATACCCAAAACGGAAGACAATTTATTTATTTATTTTGTCTCGAGCGTTTGGGCTTCTTAGTGAGGAGCAGAATCTGTTGCGACCAGTGAAATTGGTATTGAATGTGTATCGGGTCTATTGGTGAAATGACGTCAGTGATGTCTGCTTCGAGTAACTAGTCTTATGACGACCCAGTGGCGACGTTGCTCATGAAAAATGCATTACCTTATGGCATTATGGCTGGTAACAACGTCTCAGGAAGGATAGTTGGTGAATCCTGGTGATATTGTCCTATGTTTGCCCTCAGGTTCCGTGACACCAACAGTTCACCAGACGCGTCCACCAAACGCTATGTCATCACCAACCCGCCGGGCGACTTTGCGCTGCTGCCCACTGATCAGGTAAAAAATAGAGACAGAAAATAGGTATAAGAACGGAAAAACGAACAGGCGACATACAGAAAGACACACGGATAGACAGACAGGACGACCGATAGAAAGAGACAGACACATACGAGCACGCCCAGTTACAGAAGACAAACACCTAACACAAACACGGCTTGATAGTCAGTCAATGTCTATCAGACCTACAAACATAGTCACACAAGTCACAGTCACGTTTAGGAATGCAAGGAAGGCAGGAAAATCCCATTCAGCTCATCTACATCTATGTAGACGCCTGTATGACACTTCGAGAGCTTCTACCCAGAGGACAGGAGTCCGGCGCATAAAGTGTTTGTCAATTCGATTGGCAGAGTTGGAGACGACATTCATCCAAGCATGGCCTTTGCTGTGCCGTTGGGCATCGTTGAAAGGCTTAGTGATTAGTGCTTGACATGGCATTGTCACTTAGGTGGTCTAAGGCCTGGAACGCGATGGACATTTTCTGACACTATTCAGGGCATGTAATGTCGAGAATGCTAAAAGTGATTGTCTCATGTCGATTTTGTTTAGACGTCTATAGCGTGCTCTTATGTTTGAGTGTGTGTACGTGTGTTGTTTTTCAGAAATGTCTAACTGTGCGTTCCGTTTTGTGTCGCCTATGTATGATGTGTACGTTTGAATGCTACGATGATTGACTTGATTGATCGATTGTCAACAAGTCATTCTTTTCGACCTTGTTCTAGGAGGTTATTTCAACAAAATATGGGCAGCAATGAGTTTTCACATTATTATCGCAAAGTAAATTGGGGGCCCCCGCAACTCTCACAACTGACCTCATTCGCAAGTTGACAGCTATATCGTTTATCATTGCGCAAAGCGAATGTTATCTAAGACAGTATGTACGTAATTTGTCATCTTAATTGCAAGTTTTCAAATACATTTGGCTAAAAGGCTACCTCAGTTAATTACGTTGTAAAAATAAAAGTAATTTAAGTAACTGCATTTCCGTGATCATAAACTATCACTGTCAATAAAGGGCTTAGCTTATAGGTATGAGATGAATTAGTGACTCAAAAAATACTTCAGGTATTTATTGCACAGCTTTCAATTTTTTTTTCAAGGCTTCTTACTCGACTCATGGACAATCTTCACAATCTTCATCTAGTTTTCAGTCGAGCTTCAAAATTTGGAAATCTAGTTAGGCAATCAGTCGAATCCTTTCCGCAAACCGAAGTGCCTTACCTCCCAGTAGTTGCTGCTCTCTGCGTTTTTGTGACGTCCTTTCGTGACGTCATTGGTCCGTGCTCGGTCTGTCGGTGACTGACCAACGCGCATGTGCAGGTGTTCGTTATTCAAGCTTTCAACCCGCCCGATTCTCCGTACTGAGATAACTGACGACTCGAGAGCTCAGGCGCTGGTTTAGAGCCGGCGAGCGTGAGTATGAGGCGTGTGATCTGTCCCGTCTTGCCTGGGGTGTGTGACGTGCATTTTCTCTCAGCCGATTTTGTTCGTGAGGTCTCGTGATTAACATTGAGATGTGCGTGCTGCGTCGATCTGTTCTTGCCTGAGGTTTGTATTTTGGGTTTGTGTTTAACCTGGGGTGCCACGCTGTGAATTAACACTCACTTGCACAAACTCACTGCCCGCTGAGGCTTTATTTTTTATAGAGTGATCTAGGCCTTCGATTATCTAAGGGCCGATGACATTGTTAGCCAGATACATAGACGATTTAACCTTGATTTCATTAACCTTCTGGGTACGCAATGTATCCATGGAATAGCTTTCAGTTTCGCAGCCATTCGTTTCGCGATGATCATTCGACACTCATTAGGGAGTTGTTTCCATCCGCCATCCACTAACACACTCGGGAGTTTGTGAGTTTGTTTACCGCACCGGGTGCACTGAGTGACATTGCTGTGGTGCCGCACTCTTCCCTGAAACTCATCGACACTCCCGTGGGTGCCTTTGTATGCTGAGTGCCTGGGATTCCCCGGCACTCCCGCGGGTGCCGTGAGTGCAGTGAGATTACTGTGTACTGGGTGCCACGCACTGCCCTGGAACTCCCCGGCACTCCCGTGGGTGTGCACCGAGTGCCGAGTGATCATTGTGTTGGGTGCCGCCGCCTTCACAGCCTGCCCGAGCCAGTGCCGAGTCGAGCTTGACGTTCTTACCTACCGGGTGATCATTTTTGAATGATACAAAAACATTTGTTAATATCAGCCATGGCCCATGTGTTAAGCTGGATAGTTAAACCAAACACACCCATCGAATACGTACGGTGGGACATTTTATCTGGAACACACAGTCAGTCATTAATGTCAATAGCCAGCTTAGAGGAGGTGCCCAAAGTATGCACCCCTCGCGGACCGCCGACCAGCTGAGCTCCGCTCGCTGCCGGGTTTGTCTGACCATTTTCTGCTGATTATCGCCGTCCCATGCTCCGGGTAAAGTCTCCTTCTATCACTATTAGATGTGCAATTGTCTTCGGCTCACATCTGACCACACCTGTCATTAAGTGAGGTCAGACACTCAAGTAGTCACGAGAAGTCCGGGCTGTAAGACGGGCGGTCGTGCTCGCTTATTCGCAAGCTGCAGGCTTACCAGCTTTGGGGCACGGGAACTCAATGACAGGCGCGGATGTGTGTGGAGAAGCACACTCTTGTTGAAAAGAGTGTCGGAGACGCGTGAATTAGTCATACAAAGCCGGCCAAACGACAGGTTACAGCATTCTCTAGAAGGCCGTACCGTCCCCGGGTCCGCCAAACCAGTGCACTCGAACGCACTTTCATCAACAATGTCCACTTCGGAATTTTTGTTATTCTTAGTGTCTCCGTGCACTCCAAGATCCTTTGCAGGTTCCAGGAAGCCCGTATAATCGTGCTATTGCCTTTGCACATGCGCCATGAACTAAAATTTGTTGTGTTGCAAAGCCATCCAGCTGAGATATTGCATCGTTACACTAAGATGTCCAAAAAGGGTATGCTATAAAACGGATGGTATTTACCGTACCTTAGGACGGACTTGGACAATGTTGATAAAAAACAAAATGTCCAAATGTCCCTCATGTAAACCAGCACGTGAAATCAAAATATCTTGTCCTATCTTTGCACGTGGCGACTTTCTTTTTGTATCATTCAAAAATGATCACCCGGTACATCTGTCGAGTTGAGTTTTCAGTTCGACTTTCAGGTGCCTGACAAGCAGCAACAACAGCCTCCTAACTGCGAACAAATCAGCGTTTACAATGCTCAGTGTAAACTCTCCCCTCGCCCCGCACCTTAGGTCCATTCATTCCTCGTTGACCTCTGGTATTCTAACTTACTATTTGAGTAGGATTTGTATCTTCCAAGACTCCTTTCACGTTCAGTAACCATGCTGATTGCTGACCTTCGGTGACCAAGTGGCCCCATGTTTGTTAATTGGGGCTTTAGGGCGCGCCGACTACTTAGGTCATTTTGCGCCCATAACGTCGTTTTAATAAAACAAGTGTGTCAAAAGAGAGAACCTTCTAGATACGAAGACTTAAAAGTAAATGACTCGATTTAAAAGAGCAAGGTAAGATAAGGCAGCGCAAGAGTGTCGTCCTAGACAACTGACTAGATGTAAGGACTAGAGAGGACTAGTTGGATTTAATGTCAGGTCGAGTAAATCACTTGGAAGTTGATCGAACGGATAAAGGAGAAAATGTTGCCGGATAAAACCCAGGGTGAGTCGTCACCCAGAAGGTGGCGGATAGTGGTATCCGGAGCGATGCGCCCGAGATAGCGTGTCCGGTTCGGTTCAGCGAGAGGACAAGATAAAAGCACGTGAGAGACAGTGAGAGGCACGGCACACCGACTGCATGTGGGTTGTTCCTCTCCACGGAGGAGATAGCCATGAGTCGCGTACGTATGACCAATACGTAATCTGCAGAGGGCCACTTCCTGGTGCCTGTTGCTTTGGAAGCAAGACTGCCAGGGCTCCAAGGTAGGCTTTACGCTCCGCAGCTTCCCAGATCCTTGGAGATGCCACTCTGCCTGCCAGCTTGACATCGTGAAGGTTTGGATGGCTGGGTAAAAATCACGAGCCGGCAGGGGCAAACGCCGAAGGCATGGAGCCGCGGCCGCGCGTCTCGCGGCCGCGTCGGCGAGCTCATTGCCAGTTATACCCACATGGCTTGGAATCCAGCAAAACTTAATAGTTTTGCCTGACTGCTCCACCGACGTGAGCCGAGATAAAATGTCTTGGACTATCGGATTGTCTGGGTTAAACCTCCGTATAGCCAGCAGGCTGCTGAGAGAATCCGATAAAATGAGGTAAGACAAGTTGTCAGACACCTCGATAAAACACAACGCCTTCTCGATTGCAACGAGCTCGGATGAGAAAACGGAGGCAGAGGAAGGCAATGAAAAAGTGCGCGTGTCGCGACCAGCCACGAAAGCGCAGCCGACGCCGTCCTCCGTTTTCGAGCCGTCTGTAAACACCGAGATAAAACCGTCGTATGACGCAATGTGTTCCAATGTCCGAGCTCGTTGCACACATGGCGGCAGGTCGTCCTTCTTGACCTCAGAGAGCGTGAGGTCTACTTGCGCTGGAGCGTATTTCCATGGAGGAGAGGGCGTACCCCACGTACGTCGCACTTCACGGAACTCTATGTTGACTGTAGAAAAGTGCTCTTTTATGCGCAATCCGAAGGAGACCGATTGTCGCACTCTGTCAAGACGATTAAAATCAGGAGAAAAGACGTACGGATACGTCGGATGTCCTGGGAACTGGCGGAGTTTCAGTGCGTACCTCATCCCCAGCATCTGACGGCGGAGAGATAGTGGCGGTTCGTGTGCCTCGGCGAGGAGGCTGCTCTTGGGCGACGTGCGGAATGCACCTGTGGCAACACGTAGCGCCGCGTGGTGCACGGAGTCAAGAGCCTTTTTACTGGATTCGCTGGCAGAGTCGTAAACAAAGCATGCGTAATCCAGTTTCGATCGGACGATCGACCGATATAAAAGAAGGAGCGTCCTGCGGTCCGCGCCATAAGATGTGCGGGCGACACATTTTAAAACGTTCAGGGATTTAAAACATCGTTCCCGAAGCGTTCTAAAATGTTCTCTATACGTCAAACGACTGTCAAAAAATATCCCAAGAAACTTTGCCACCGGCCGAGTAGGAATCACCTGTCCACGGAGCTTGATTCCCAAGGCTAAGTCGTCGCAGCGGCGGCGGCAAAAGTGCATAGCGACGGTCTTAGTTGTTGAAAAACGAAGGCCGTTGTCGTCGCTCCACCTCTCTAGACGGGTTACAGCGAGCTGCAACTGTCTGGCAACGTGACGGGCGGTCGTGGCAGAAAGCCAGATCGCGAAATCATCGACAAATAGCGATCTGCCGATGGATGGTGCAAGTTTGTCGCCAATATCATTGATCGCCACAGCGAACAGCGCCACACTGAGAACTCCGCCTTGGGGAACCCCGTTCTCTTGCGTAAAACTGCTCGAAAGACAACTGCCAACTCGGACTTTGAACCGACGACCCGATAAAAAGTTCTTGATAAAGAGGCCCATCCGGCCGCGTATGCCGTACTTGTGTACTTTGGAAAGTATTCTGTGTCGTAACACTGTATCATAGGCCGCCTCAATATCAAAGAACAGTGCTCCAAGGTGCTTCTTTGCAGTAAAACAGGTGCGTATCTCGGTGTCGAGGGCTAAAATGTGGTCAACAGGGCTGCGGTGCCTTCTAAAACCGCACTGGGCGTTTGTAAAAACACCGTGATGTTCCAGAAACCAGCTAAGACGCACATTGACCATCTTCTCCATCAGCTTTGAAAGCGATGATGTGAGAGAGATGGGCCGATAGTGGAGAGGGTCATGTCCCGACTTGCCAGCCTTCAAGATAGGAATGATAGTGGCTTCCCGCCAGGTCTCAGGGAAAGTGCCAGTCTCCCACAGCGAATTGAAAGTTGCTAGCAGCGCCTCGAGGGCAACTGCCGGGAGATGACGGAGCATGTCGTTGTGGACAGCATCCGGACCTTCTGAGACGCTGCGCAACGAGCTGATGGCAGACGTGAGTTCAGCCATAGAGAAAGGCTCGTTGTACACCAAATTTTCAGCTGTGCTGAAGTCCACGGCGGCTGGTGCAGGTCGTGAGGACGGCTCTACTCGGCAGCGCTGATAGAGTGCACGGCCTATCGTCTCTGCGACGTCTGAAGGGTGAGATATGTCCGTGTTGTTCACTCTTAAAACCGGAAGCGGAACAGAGCTGAACCGGCCTTCAATGCGCTTCATGCGTGCCCATATTTGGGTCGTAGGAGTAAAACGGTTTAAGGAACTTACGTAAGTGCGCCATGAAACAGCCTTTGCCTCTTTTAAAACGCGACGGGCAAAAGCCCGCGCTTTCTTAAAAGCGATGAGGTTCTCAGTAGTACTACTCCGGTCAAACTTTCTAAAAGCGCGCTTCCTGGCACGAATCGCATCTCCGCATTCCTTGGTCCACCACGGGACCGGAGGACGACGAGGCTGACTCGACGTCTTGGGTATGCACCCGTTTGCGGAGTCAATGAGTAAACATGTAAAATCCTCTGTAGACATCACAGAGGCGTCGGCTCTGGATAAAACAGAGGCCTCTACAGCGGCCTGGAATTCGCCCCAGTCGGCTTTCCGAACATTCCACCTAGGTGGACGGTTGCCTGACACTGGGGACTCCTGGTGCTCCAGCCACACTGGGAAGTGGTCGCTCCCGAGTGGGTCGTCATGGACGGACCAGGTAAAAAGCTGAGCTAGCCGCGGACTGACTAAGCTCAGGTCCAGAGCCGATGTTTGACCGGAGGGTGTTGTAAAATGGGTGCGCTGTCCTGTATTTAAAATACACAGCGCCTCATCGCGGATAAAGGATTCTAAAAGTCGACCACGAGTGCCAGTCGTGTCGCATCCCCACGCCAGGCTATGGGCATTAAAATCGCCGACTACCAGGACCGGAGGTGGAAGCTCATCGACGAGTCGATGCAGCTCAGCCACCGGGAGCGCTATACCTGGTGGAAGGTATAAAGAGCATACAGTTAGTTCCCGGTGGTTGAAATCAACTCTGGCGGCCACCGCCTGCAGGGGAGTCTGCAGCGGCACCTGGCGCGCAGGTACGCTGTGGTGAACCGCCAGAAGCACACCTCCATGGGCAATGGTCAGGGTGTCCAGGTCTCTTCTAAAAACAGAGTAGCCCTTGATGGCAAAGGTAACGTTTGGCGCTAGCTTGGTCTCCTGGAGGCCTAAAACAAGGGGTGTGCGCCAACGGATAAGAGACTGTAGGTCCTGGTAGTTGGCCCGGAGGCCTCTACAGTTCCACTGTAGAATAAAAGGCGTAGTTAAAAAGGCGCAGAAAGGGCACGTATAACATGAGGCAAAGGCGCACACAGATACCTGACTGACCACAAAAAAGGTAAAAAGCACCGAGAGAAATGCACCTGGTAAAAAAGCGCAATAGCGCGAGAGAGATAAAAGGATAAAAGAGGAGATGACTAGACTGAAAGACTAGACTAGGTCCTCTAACTCCGAGGAGGCGCTCCCCCCGTAACAGATACGGGGATGCCCCGAGCCCTCTCGGTGTAGCCTCCCTTCAGCAGAGGCAGATCGGGCGTGGCTCGAGCCCTGCTGGGGCTTTTTCGCCCGGGGGGCGTCACCCTCCGAGGGCGACCAGCTCGGGGGCGTCTGCCGCTTGGCGAGGCGCCCTGGAGCCGCGGAAGGCTGTTGCCGCCCCGACGGGGATGTCGAGGCGGCGGCCTGTGTCCTCGACACAGGCGTCTCTGGCAGCGGCGGTGGTGGCCGCCGCTGCGGAGGTGGAGGCGGCGGCGGGGGACCCATGATGGGCCGAGTCCCCGCCTGAGGGGTCTCCGGGGTGTCAGCGGCGACAGCCGCATTGGCACTCCCGGAGGCGGAGGCGGCAACAGAGGCCTCCTTAGCCTCGATGGCCTTTTGAACGAGGCGAGCCCTCCTCGCCTCTCGTGCCCTCCTCTCCTCCTCTCCCCGCCGCAGAGCCTCCTGCACCGCCGTGGGCGGTCGGGGGCGGGGCGGGGTGGATGGCGCCTTACCCTGCGCCGGGGGGCGCCGACCACCCTGTCGGCGCTGGACGACGGTCCAATCGTCTCCTTCACCGCTCGCAGCTGGAGCGGGACTGGGTGGACCCCACACTGACTCTTGAGCAGTCTGCTCTGTGTCACTCGGCGGCGCACCAGGCGCCGAAGAGTCCGCGGAGTCACCAGTGGCTACGACAGTGAGGCCAAATCTTTTGAGAAGCTGCACGAGCTGTGCCACGCTCATCTGGGAGGCATCGGTAGCGTTTGTCACTTTCACCTTCTGGGCATACGAGGTCTTCGGGTGATTTTGGTTATATACCTCCCGGGCCTCTTTGAATGACAGATTCCTGGTAGCCTTGATGGTGTTGATCTCCTTCTCCTTGACGTATGTAGGGCAGGACCTGTCATACGCGGAGTGCGGTTTCTGCCCCTCTCCGCAGTTGACGCATCGAGGGGTCTCCGAGTCGCACGTATCGTCAGTGTGGTCCTGAGAAGCGCACTTGGAGCATGTGGGTCTACCCCGGCAGTTGTCCTTCGTGTGGCCGAACCTCTGGCACCGATAGCAGCGCATGGGTGCCGGGACGTATGGGCGCACGCGGACCTTGATGTACCCCACACGGACCTCGTTCGGCATGTCGGTGGTGTCAAATGTCAGAATGATGTTATTTGTCGGGACCGTGCCTCTTCGCGTGAGGATGCGGCGGGCGGCTGTCACGCCGTACTCCGAGAGCCCGTCCGCTATGTCCTCGTCACTCACGTTCCTCAAGTCGAAGCAGTTTATGACTCCTCGAGAGGAGTTCTTGGAGCGGTGTGGCTCCACCGTCAGCGGCAAAGAAACGAGCTTCCGACCGGAGGCACGTCTTTCCGAGTACACGAATCGAGTGGCAGTTAAGGCATTCGTCGCCTCTTCGCTTTTCCGGAACTCCACCTCAAGTGCTCCGTCCCGCATGCGGTCGCAGCGGACGATGCTGCCAAACCGGTCACAACCGTCCTTTCGCTGGAAGGGCGACAAGGAGCTCAGCTCCCTGTCTGCGCTCCGGAAGATGAGGATTCTGGGATTTTTCGGTCTTTGAACGTGCAACGTTCGCCCGTCGGCCGAGGCCGGCGGGCGAGAATCGGCCGAAGCCGAGGGATTGGTGAGAGAGGGGGAGGAGGGGTTGGTCAAGGTATCCATGCGAGTCTGTTGGTCTCCGCCAGCTCGGCCGCCGACGCTCCGCAACGGCGCCGCTACAAGGCCTGGGACGGCCGAGCTGACTGTACGGGACTTGGCGGCACCTTCCGAGGGGGAGAGAGAGACTCACCACCCCCCACGGTCGGATACCGCCTCCTCCCTTGACGCCTAGCCGAGTCACCGCCAGGGGCAGCGACAGATCAGCCCCACCGACGGAGGACGAGCACAAGTGCCCGAACCCCGCCGGCGACACCTCTCCGACACCACCCCCGGCGGCATCACGACTGGGAATGGCTCCTCAAGTGCGGCGCCCCACTGAGTGTCCCGCCCTTACAGAACTCAGGGCCAAAGAGGCGTGTTGCCCAGCCACCGCGACTGGCTCCGCACGGTGGGGGGCTCAACCTCCAGGATCCCGTTGTCCTGGGGTACGGGTCGGCTCGCCTAGCCTAGTAAAACCGGCTGGTACCCGAGGGGACGCCACTCCCCTTACACTAGCCCAAATCGGCTGTGGTCCTGCGGGTGCAAAAACGACGAAAAAAAGGGGGAAAGGAACCAGAAAGCTGTGATCGAGCGAAACGCGGACATCCGGTGAGAAGCAAAGCAAAAGCAAACAAAGACCGCTCAAGAGAAACAAAACCACGGAAACCAAGAAAAGTCGGGCCGTACCATCTGTCCATCCAGTGATCAAGAGCAAATCGTAAGCAAGCGTGGGTCAAGCTGGGGCCGAGGGGGCGCTACTCCCCTTGCTGGCCGAGGCCAGGGCCGACGCGGGGCGAGGGCCCAAGGAGCCCAGTCCAACAGCGACCCAGGCCACTGCCAACCCCCTGCGGGGCCAATCCAGCAGGCAATCCATCCGGCAACCAAAGCAAGTCCAGGTCAAACGCGCGTCAAGCTGGGGCCGAGGGGGCGCTACTCCCCTTACTGGCCGAAGTCACAGCCGCCGCAAAGCCGGGGCCAGATGACCTCGGCTAAGCAGCAGCTCTGACCACGGTCAGCCCCCTGCGGGGCAAGTGGCCCCAGGCGGCCGAAGTTGGCGTTTTCGGACCTCTGATGACTCCCGCCGACCCTCGTTGACTTACTGTGCCTTATATTGTCCTATTGGTCCTATACCCTGCTGACCCCCCTTACCCCAAGTGACCCAAGGTGACACCCGTTAACCTCTGGTGACCCCCTCGACCTCAAGTGACCCTTTCTGAACTTTGATGATTTCCGCTGTTGACCTCTTTTAACCCCCTGTTCCCTATGGTGACCCCTCAACCCCCGCTGACCTTTGATGACTGAGTGTCTCAGATTGACGTCTTTGACCCCTTGTGACCCCCTCTGACATCTGATGACCTGTGGTGACCCCCTTTCGACCCCTTGCTGACCTCTGGCGACTCCCTCTCACCCCGAATGACCTCTGGTGACTCCCTCCGACTTGCTGATCTCGTGTCTGACGATGACTCCTCTGACATCTGATAACCCCTGACCCCTGTTCACCTCTGATGACCACCCACTGACCTCTGGTGACCTCTACTGACCCCGGTATCCCTTCGTCAGGTGTTTGTGCTGCTCCAGTTCGACCCGGGCATGGAGTACATCCCCAATCGGGGCACCAAGGTCGACCTGAGTCGAGAGGACAAGTCCTGACTGCTGCTTTGCAGTGCGCTCACTGACGGGCCCTACTCGCACATCTAGCCGCTGGTGGCCGCGGCGGCGCCCTCAGCGCCCTCAGCGGGCACCCGCCAGGCTGATGGAATTGTTATCCTGGCTGGCCGCGAGAGTTGGCGTTGGGGCAAAAACAGCGGACGGAAGACGCTGTTGGCTGCAGAGGGCATGAAGATGGACGACTACAGAAGCTGGGACCATTTTCAGTAAGCATTCATCTCGAATGCAGCGAAAGAATGAAGCCGAAGTTACATCTCGCTCATCATCGAACGGGGGTGGGGTGTTTGACTCGGCGTTTGGGTCGGGCCGCTGGGGGCGTCGCCAGGCCACGCGGCTGGAGGGGCTGTCTGTGAGCGCACTGGCACCGCCTCTGTCTGTCGGTGGCGTGGGCATATCAAGGCGGCGGGAGGCCACTCCCGACCTCCCTGGATGCACATTCAGTGCCTGTGGGATGGGCGACACGGTCGCTATGCGCCGGTGGAGTTGACACGAGCGTTTGTTGTGGTTTGGTGATGTTCGTTCGCCCGAGTGCGTGTTGTGTTGTGCCAGGGCCGGATGCTGTTGTGTTGTAAGTGGATAGAGATGTCCAGAGCGTAGGACCGTTGTGCGCGTGCGTCGTCGTCGATTGGTGATTGGCCGTTGCCGCGTTATGTGGTATCACTGCTACGCATATGTTCGCACCACGACTGAACTTTCAGCAAGCACTTCTGCTGAGCACCTGGGAAGGGCGGCGCGGGACGCCACCAGGGCGCACCACGGGATCGGTCCCCAGTCCCCTCGAGTCCCCGCGTGCCACTATGTCCCTCTGCCCTCCGAGCACCGTGAGACGTTCGAATCATTCCACTTCACCCGGCCCGAACCGCCGGGTCTGCGCTCCGCTGCGCTGCGCGCTCCGTGATATCTAGATGTAAGCTACCGTACCGATCGCGTCACCCCACTGTGTGGATGACGTCACTGGCCGCGAGCTGCCTTTTCTCTCTGGAGTGCCGCGTGAAGACGGCGCTCTGAAATCAAACTCACCCTGTGTGGTTTTGTTTGAGACTGTCACTGTTCCTTGAAGTGCGATCTTTCCATTCTTCGATATTATCATCACTTTGACATAAGAAAACACCTTTTGGTATCAGCGTCTTGTTAACCTACGCTGAAAGTGTGGACACTAACTCAGACTTTTGAAACATACAAACACGAAACAAGACTTTTCCAACTCCTACAAACCCGCGTCTAACTCTACAAATATGCCGTATTCTCTGTCTAACCCAAAGCCCGCCTCTGGGTGCCCGTCATTGCCTTGTCTGTGGTTCACTTGTTCGTAGTGAGTCCTGTTCGCCTTCCTGTCTGTACGCAATGCTCCGCGCCAGCCGTTCGCACCGTCGTGTTTCTACCTGTATTACACACTACACATGGGTGGGAAAAAACGATTTTATCTGTCAACGAAGACTGTGTACCTACGGATGCGCGCAGGTCGAGGCGGCGGGAAAAGCAGAGGATGATACGCCAGGAGCGTGGAGAGGCAATGGCGCCCAGGCAGGCGGAAAAACAGAGGATTTGTTGCCGGCGCGCCGCTCTACATGCGTATGTTAATCATTTTATTAATACATTATTTTTAAGCACTAAGCAGATAGCTGTGTTTTGCTCCATGACTGCAGTATGGTATGATCGAGTGTTGAGCTAATTCGCGATGGAAACTAGGTGCGATGGTGGCAGAGCTGGATTGCATGAGGTCACGAGAAGAACCGAGGCGAGCCGCAAAACACGTGACCATCCCTCGGACACGTCGCACAAATCCCTCCAGAGACATTAGCGTAACGACTGAGTCCACCACAGCCGGGTTTCGGCACCGATCATGTATTTACAGACGATTTCAAGTGACCACAAAGTACACACTGATGCCACTGCCATCCTCTATACCTGAAACACAATAATGACCATTAGGTTATCACATTTCGCTGTGCATTACAAATGAAACACAACAACGACCATTAGGTTACCACATTTCGCTGTGCATTACAAACGCACAAGAAACATACCTAGGTACGCACAGTTTGTATTATAATCATTTCAAATACAATTCACCGTTCGTAAAAAAATCACTGACATCCGGCATTAAAGATTCCACCGATATTCCATAACATACGAATGCTGCCGTGAAAAGGAACTCCATAACCATCATTTTAGGGATTTTTATTTATGTTTTGCTATCCAATAACGCAGAATTCCGAGCCGGACACATCCGTGTTTTGTTTATGTTAGGATAGGAACTTGATTTCCCGCAGATAGAATGCTATTCCTGTGATGGATGATGCTATCCTTAGTTACTTAACATTGAGAACGTAAAAAAGATGAAAACGCGACATGAGGGTAAAGAGTTTACTTCCTCAGCCAACCCAGCTCCCATATAGGCCATGTCCCATCTACTCTGAGCATAGAAAAGGGAAAGAACGCGCATTTAGACACCATGGTGTTTAATGTAGGTATGTATATTGTGTTTATCTACGGAGTACAGTAGGTGCTGTAGGTCCTATATTGTGCTGTATTTTAGCCGGTATTCGCCGGAAGACCTCCTCACGGCCATACTACGGACTGCCTCCCAGCCCCGCTCGAGCTCATCGATCCCAACCGGGTCGGTCAATGAAGAGATCCGTGAGTGTGCTTCGATGTGGTCCAGTTTGAAAATGGTACAGAGCAGCCGGAGCCCGCGTCATTCTCAGTCACAGGCAATTGTTGCCTTCATCTTCCAGGGCCCTGTAGAGAGAGCAAATCGAACTGTGCAGGAAAAGCTCACGTGCTGGAGGGCGGATAACACGCCTGCCGACTCCCTGAATCCCGACGGCACGTCTGAGAAGATTGGATGGTGTGATGTAGGCATTGGAGTTAGCGCCACGAGCGTCACCTGGGTAGCGGTGGAGTTTTGCAATGTAGCAACCCTGGATGTTGTTGTCTCGTTTTGTGTTGAACGCGAGAGTGCAAGGAATCGCCGCGTTTAAGGGCTTATGAAAGGGTACAGACATGAGTATTGAGTAGGTACACGAAAAAGGAAGTTGGAAGTAAGACTGATATAAAGACTAAGGATATCACGAAAAAGGAAATTGGAAGTAAGACTGATATAAAGACTAAGGGTACACAACAAAATGGCGACGAGGAACAAAAGTGAGGGACTGCTGCGATGCATGTAAAGGACCACGCCGTTGCGCCAAAATTGTATCAATTTAAGGTTGAGTGCAAATTACGAAAAGCGAAGTGCGCCACATTTCTATTATTGGGAAGACATCGAAAGACTGAAGAGAAATTGAAAATCGGTGAATATGGCTAGTAATCTACCACCACCCATGGGCCTGCAAAAAGGTGAGGAATTTTCCCAGTGGATAAAATCAGTAGAAGTGTACTTGGGTCAGGGTGCCATAAACGTTGTGACACATAAACGTTGTGACACCGGGCCGGAGAAGGTCGCCGCAGTCCTGACAGGCGCAAGGTGCCCCTGAAAGGACTGTGGTGCCCCTGACAGGCCCGCGGTGCCCTTGCTAGGCCTGTGGTGCCCCTTGGCAGGCCTGTGCTGCCCCTAGCGGGCTTGTGGTGCCCCTGCTAGGCCGCTGGTGCCCCTGGGCCCTGGCAGGACTGTGGTGCCCCTGACAAACCTGAAGTGCCCCCCAGTGGCGTAGCCAGAGATCAGCGAAAGGTGGTGCTCGCATGGTGCTCGAGGGGGCGACTTTTTCCCTTGAGAGGGGCGCCATTGTCAGCTAGTGACAGGGGCGTCAGTCTAAAATGTAACGTCATGTTCATCCATGATGTATTAGGTGTTGCAAAATACGAGTGTAAGAACCAGCTTTCGCCGATTTTTCATAAAATCCAATTAATGCAATTTACAGCCCGGTGTTTTTTTATCAAAAAACCTTGATCTTGATAACTTTTAAGTATGATATAGGAAGCGAGCTCGGGCTACAGACATTTTATTCTCAAAATATGCATCCATGCGAATTCGAAGCGGTAAAATGTACGTTGATCGATAGGCACAATCTATATTCTTTGCAAAAAAAAAAAAAAAAAAAAATACAGGCTTACTCACTGATCCAAAGTGACCTGTGGGCTGCAGCCTGTGGTCGACCGGGGTGGCCGTGCTTAGAATCTCAAACCGCACGTATGTAGGATTCACGCTACGACTCATTGCCTAAATTGGGATCAAGGAAAGACTTGAACATTTAAGACCATGAGATCTAAACTCATTGTCATACCAGCAGCGACTGCAGTCAGAGGCGACCGAACGCGATACGTTCTGGATTTTTTCTCCACAAATCACCTTTACAATACGATGTCTAGTGCGTGCAGCCCCTACTTGTGGACATGCATGACTGCCTCCAGTAACTGACTGTCACTAGCCTCCAGAGGGCAAAAACTCCAAAAATTGCAGTTTTAATTAAAAACATTTTTTTTTTCTGCAATAACTTTTGACTCAAGACAGTGACATTTATTTTGCTAGCATCGTCTTCCTCTCGTCGAAACGCGTCGAATGAATTATTCGTTGACCTTGAAAGGTCATTTTGAAAATTTGACCTCATGCCAAGGTCATGACCTGACCGGAAAGGGTCATGCTGCATACGGTCGATCCGTATTGTCGAGCTGAATACATCTGACGTGTTTTCATCGCCCCAGCACGTCTCTATCAAAAGTTATAGCCAAAAAACTGCTGGTGACCGTTCATGACCTGAGGATCCTTGTTTACTAAAATACACTGGAATGGAATGAAATGGAATGACCTCAGAGGCAGACAGAGGAGTCACAGGTGCAATTTTCCGATTCAGTGTGCCATGTTTACCTACCTACGAACTGATGTTCGAGAGGGTTTTGAACACCATAGGTCAAAAAGAGGCACATTTAAATTTTCTCCCATTGACTCTTATTTAACCCGCGCCCTGCTGGGGGGAGGGATGGGGCAGAATCTGCCTCCCCCTCCCGTTTTTCGCCAATAACTGCTAAACGCGTTGCGCCAGCGACGTCAAACTTTCAGTGCCTTATCATACATAAATTTCACAAGTTCCCTGTAAATCTGAGCGAAATCCGTCGGATTTTTTTTTGTTGAGAAAATGACGTTTAAGTGACGTCATGTCACGCCATTTTCGCTTTGAAAACTGCAAAAGTTCAAACGCCGCTAACATCTTCATTTTAAAAGAACCAAGACGTAACAAAGAAGGTCATACGTTATTTTACTTTGTCTATCAAATGGCTATCTCGGTTTTTTGAAAATCTTGGATTTTGCCCCAAAAGTTAAACTGATTTTTTTTTTTGGAAAATTCAATGTGAAATCCAAAATTTTGTGTTAATCGAAAAAACGGAATATATGTTAGAGAAGTGGTTTATGTGCACATGCATACCAATTTTTAGAAGAATCGGTTAAAAAATGTGGGAGTTATTCAAACTTCTATGACGTCACGACACACAAAATTTTCGAAAAATGATTTTTTGGAACTTCTTAACCTGATACGGAAACAAAAATAGCACCATTCGATTGGCCGTGAAAAACTGCATCAGATAGACACCTTTTTAGGTCTTAACAATCAAATTCAAAATTTGACATCACTTCACCTGACCTTGACCTGACCTCGATCTGAAATTCATCCAGATGTGTTCCATATCACTAATTGAGTGTGCCCATTGAATTCTATGAATAAAGTAACCCATAAAACATGTCTCGCACATGCCCTCTTCTATATTTCGTATTTGGTGACCTGACCTTGACCTTTGCATGACATTGTATGCAACGCGTCTTGTCTTGGTAGCCTAAGAACACGTTTTGGGCAATCAGTCTCAGTCCATTCTTCGACAACTACGATGCAAGGCCGATACTGTAGAAACTTGCATTATGTACCCTTACCTGACCTTGACCTGACCTCTGACTAGAGGTGGCAAAAGGTGATAATTTTGGGAACCAGACCCGACTGGACATTTCTGGAACCAGTCGGACCCGGTCTAAGTTGGAATCGGAACCAGTTGAACCCGTTCCCCAAAAGTCAATTAATACAAGCTACTTGTAGGTATCATTAGTTACCTCATGTAAAACAGCCTTTTTCCCACTGGAAATACTCATGAGCTACTGTATGCAAAGAAACATAGGCAAGTGTTTTCTTTCCATTCACTTCATATTTTGCAATAATGTGTATGTGTACAAGGTGTATATGTAGTTAGTTTATGGTAGGACCCGGATGGACCGGTCAGAAAATTTTCAGGAACCGGTCTGGACCCATATGGGTCCAGACTGCAGGGTTGTGCTTGACTCATGAGTCGAGTCAGAAATTTGACTCAACTCTGACTCAAATGAGTCAGATTTGAGTCGAGTCGGATAAAATGTTGAGCTGTTGAGTTGAGTCAGAGTTGAGTCAGACAAAAATATTAAGGCGTTGAGTTGAGTCAGAGTTGAGTCAGTAAAATAACTTGACATTGAACTGAGTCAAACACCCCCCCCCCGCTTAACAACTTAGCCCTGGCCCTGCTGCTGGTTTTTTTTTCACCCCCCCCCCCCGCTCAACAACTTTTTTATCTGAGTCAATTTTGAGTCAACTCACTTGACTCAACAAAAAATTTGAGTCAAGTTTGAGTCAACTCATATTTTCATTGAGCCGCTTGAGTCA